CGCACCCTTGACCCCTGGTCCTCATATCCAGAATCCTTACACCCCAGTCCCTCCGGACCCCTGCTCCCTGTTCACCAGTCCCCAGATCCCCAATCCTCAGACCCCTGTTGTCCAAATTCCTCAGACCCCTCATCCTCAATTCTCGGACCCCTGCTCTATATTTCCTTGGTCCCCCTCCCCCCAGAACTCCCCGAGTCCCAGACCCCGAATCTCCTGATCACATTTTCAGACCTCTCAGTTTCTACAGACCCCTGATCCGCAACCCCTCACTTTTGATCTGAGCCCCCCTCCCCCGATCTCCGCCCCCCAGACTCCCCAGACCCCCAACCCCCTCCCCCGATCTCCGCCCCCAGACCCCCCAGACCCCCAACCCCCTCCCCCGGGCCCCGTCCCCCAGACCCCCCAGACCCCAACCCCCTCCCCCGGGCCCCGTCCCCCAGACCCCCCAGACTCCCAACCCCCTCCCCCGGCCCCGTCCCCCAGACCCCCAACCCCCTCCCCCGGGCCCCGTCCCCCAGACCCCCCAGACCCCCAACCCCTCCCCCGATCTCCGCCCCCCAAACCTGCCAGACCCCCAACCCCCTCCCCCGGGCCCCGTCCCCAGACCCCCCAGACCCCCAACCCCCTCCCCCGGGCCCCGTCCCCCAGACCCCCCAGACCCCCAACCCCCTCCCCCGGGCCCCGTCCCCCAGACCCCCCAGACTCCCAACCCCCTCCCCCGGGCCCCGTCCCCCAGACCCCCCAGAACCCCCAACCCCCTCCCCCGGCCCCGTCCCCCAGACCCCCCAGACCCCCAACCCCCTCCCCCGGGCCCCGTCCCCCAGACCCCCAACCCCCTCCCCCGATCTCCGCCCCCCAGACCCCCCAGACCCCCACACCCCCTCCCCCGGCCCGTCCCCCAGACCCCCCAGACCCCCAACCCCCTCCCCCGATCTCCGCCCACCCAGACCCCCCAGACCCCCAACCCCCTCCCCCGGGCCCCGTCCCCCAGACCCCCCAGACCCCCAGCCCCCTCCCCCGGGCCCCGTCCCCCAGACCCCCCAGATCCCCAGCCCCCTCCCCCGGCCCCGTCCCCCAGACCCCCAGCCCCCTCCCCCGGGTCCCGTCCCCCAGACCCCCCAGACCCCCAGCCCCCTCCCCCGGGCCCCGTCCCCCAGACCCCCCAGACCCCCAGCCCCCTCCCCCGGGCCCCGTCCCCCAGACCCCTCAGACCCCCAGCCCCCTCCCCCGGGCCCCGTCCCCCAGACCCCCCAGACCCCCAGCCCCCTCCCCCGGGCCCCGTCCCCCAGACCCCCCAGACCCCCAGCCCCCTCCCCCGGGCCCCGTCCCCCAGACCCCCCAGACCCCCAGCCCCCTCCCCCGGGCCCCGTCCCCCAGACCCCCCAGACCCCCAGCCCCCTCCCGCGTCGCGCGCCATTGAGGAAGCGCGGAACAGGAAGCGGCGCGCGGCGCGGGGGAGACGACGCGCGTGGAGCGCTGTGGCCGGACCCCGCCGGACCCCCAATCCAAGACCCCCGCAACCAAGACTCGCGGACCCCCCAGCCTCCGTACCCCCTTCGGCCGGGCCCCCTCGGCCCCACAACTTCGGTGACAAAAACTTCGCCAAACCCCGAGCGGCGCAGCCCGGCAGCTACAACTCAGCGGACCCCGGATCGAGGGGACCCCCGACTTCCAAGGGCCCCTGTGGTCATAGATCCCCGTCGTACCCCGAGACTGGGACCCCTGCAAAGTCGACTCCCCTCGGACCCGAATCTCTTGCCCCGGATCGAGGGGACCCGACTCCTGGACGTCGGAACCCCGAATCCGGAGCTAACCCCTCGGAGCAGCAGACGCAGTCGGACCCCGGATCGAGGACCCCGGTGAGTCTCTCCCCTCTCGGGCCCTAGGGACCCCTGGGGCCCCGGTGCTCGGGCCGGGGCCCCGCTCGGATAAGTCGGCGAGCCCCAGGGGGTCCTGAGGGGCCCTTGCCGGAGCCGGCTGAGATGTTTGGGGACTCTTGGGGTCCTGAGGGACCCTTTGCGGATCCCAGGCATCCTCAGTTGTCTCGGGGGGTCCCCCCCCCGGGGGTCGGGGAGACGGCAATCGCTGGGGTCTACGGCTCTGTGGGGTGTCCCGGGGAACAGGGGACCCCCTTGGGATCAAGGGGACCCCGTTGGGATCAAGGGGACGCTCGTGGTTTATTGGGGTCGGTTGTGTGGGGGTTGCTGTACGGACATCGTTAAACTAACAGGGAACAGGAACCCCCCCATCATCGCGGCGGCCGTTGTGGTCCCAGAGTCTGCCTGGGCCCCTCTTAGAACCCCTGACAACCGGGGTCCCGAGTCGGGGTCTGGGGATGTCGGTCGTCAGGGCTGGGAGCGAAGTGTTTCGCGAGGAGATGAGAGAGGAGGTCTCGGCCTCGTGGGCTCATCATCACGCGAGGCGGTGAAAGCCTGTACGGTACTGTACCACTCGCTGACTGGACGTGCAGAGGGCGGGAGGCTGTGAACGAGACTGCTGAGTTACTGAGTTTGAATGAGTGCGGTCGGCTGTGCATGCGTGTGACGCATGGGGCGAGCACGAGGTGACACGGAGTGTGGAACAAAAGCTGAAACAGTTGCACCGAGAGCGACGTGGCACAGACGTAGCCTCGGAGACGAGAGTGCAGTGCAGCAGGGGGTTCTTGATTCCATTTGTGTGGAACTTTAGGGCTAGTTATTGGTCAAATATCCCAATGCAAGACCCTCCTGAAAACAAGTCTCAAGACTCGGCAGGACTTTGTGTAAATAAAGCGCATTGCTGTGTGTACTGCGGTGCTAAATAATGGGCAAGACTAGTGATGGAATGGCAGCCAAAGGAGGGAACGACACCTCAGGTGACACAGTTGCTGCTCTAATTCATGGACGCAGTCTCAGTATTACCCTTGCCACTACCGCCATCACAAGCATCACCATCCAGCCTCGACTCTCATCACAATCCTCATCCTTACCATCACTATTTCCCATCACTACCATCAACATCACCCATTACCACCACAATTACTACCATCACCATTGACTTTATCACTACACTGGCCACGACCCCAATCCCGTCACCGACGCGGTTGAGGGGTAGGAGATTAACTCTAGTCTTGAAACCACATTCATTGCATCGTAAGCAAAATTAGGAAACTGATGTAGTCCGTTTCAACATTCAGATAACGGTTGCTGTGCATTCTCCAGGGTCAAGACCTTCCTCTTAACCTACCTGTGACTGACCACCTCTCTACCAATAAATATTCCCACTGTTTCAATACAACATGTTTAGATTTGGGGCATTTAGACACTGTGTTCACCCGCATTTTTCTCTGACGTGTCTGTGTTTCTGTGGTGTCTGTGTCCCCCTGCTTGCTTCAGGACCGGACGCAGGACAGGGCGGCAGAAAGGGGCAGCAGTGGGGGGCACCTTGTGGGCACCATGCCGCGTTTACAAGGGGTCGGGGCCGACTCCTACCAGTTCAGTGTGGTGAGTATCATGGCACAGGGTGCCACGCCGCCTCATACCACGTTAATGTCACACCACCACCCCAAGCCACATCAAATTCGAAATGATGTCAAACCGTAGCGTGCCACAACTTACCATGACATGCCACACAATGGCAGACCTTGCCACGTCACCAAGCCGCGTCGCCCTGACTAATGAGAAAAGTGAGTGGACTTGGGCAGGACATATCATGGCTTGAAGGGATGATGGGCGCTGGTAAAGACTTATAATGCAGTGGTAGCCAAAGCATGAAATGTGCCAAAGATAGAGCCATGAAATAAACTCATGAGCGTGTGCATCGCTAGCCCGTGAGAGATGGCGTCAACTTGGCGAGGGCTTCATTCAGAAGTGGATAGACCGTGGCAAATGGCGATGATGTCACTGTGGGCCATGCACCCGTGCCCCGCTGTGGGTCCCCTTGGTGATAGCGCATCCGAATGCGTGCGCCACAGCCGGTTGTCACCTTCCGCCCCTGCGGGAAGGGCGGTGGTGACGGGGAGACCCTGGGAATCTCTGAGACGCCACCGCGACGATCGGTCGGGGCAGCTGCCGGCACGTCTGACTGCCCGCCCGTGCGCCTTCTGAAAAATGATTTTTCATGAGCACGAGAGGCCATTAATATCGAGAATAGCCTCTTCAATGAGTGACCCATTCCAAGAAGACCAAAAGTAACAATGATTAATTCCAACAGTTGTAACTTTTGACAGGAAATAAAATACAGAATTAAAAAGATGTAGCTCAGCAAAAGAGTTACGAGGAACAAGATGGGGAAGATGAAAGAAAACGTTCGGAAAATTAAATTAATACGACGGCCATCTTTCTGTCGACAACAAAATGTGCCCCCCGTTGCTGTAGAGCATCTTCAGTCACATTCACAAGGGCATACCGCGCGACTCGCAGGGACGATGGCTGCTGGCGAGAACAACTGCTGAGTAGCAGCCAGACTCGGGAAAGCGCCCGAGTTGACCGCGGCGGTGAAGCGCGGAGGTCTACTCTCGTGCGGGCGCTGGGGGTATCGCCGACTTGGGGAGGCCTTCATCCAAGAGGGGATTGATCACGGATGCCGATTATGGTGACTGATACGTAAGCGATGTATGGTAATTATATGGAAAAGTATTAGGGGTGGCGGGTTGTCAGTGGTGGCAAAGGAGACACGGGCAGGTGGTTGGGGAGGATCAATGCTGCCACTCACCTGCGTGCGTGTATGCACCTGGCCTGGCACAGGCGCCGCGGTGATGTCACCGTCACTTGGTGGGAATGGCTGGTATTGGTGTCGGTGTACGTCTGTGTGTGCGTGTGCATATGCCTGGCAAATGGGCACGAGAGCGTGGGCGGGCGGGATGCGGTGAGGCAGAGTGTGTGCGTCATACACTCACCAACACACAAAGTGCCAAATTCGAGAGCATGTAAGTGAGAGTGAGAGAGCATTAAGTTGCACGTGAGATCAGTTCTACTTCCACACCCCGCGTGTGGTTGGGGAGGGCGTGTGGACATGGTGTATCAGGTGAGTTTAATTTTGGATTCAGTTGTGTATGAGTTATGGCTGTGTTGGTATTGTGTAACCGGTGAGGCGGTGTGTAAAGTGAAGTTGTGTTGACATGGTGTTCCAGGTGAGTTTAGTTTTGCTGTGTATGAGTTGAGGTACGAGTACAGGCACTGTGTAACAGATGATCCTGTTGTTGGGTCCCGGTGTATTATCACCGTGTGCCACGTGAGATTAATTATTTACCCGGTGAGATGCTGTTACGAGTACAACATGAGTAGCGATAACCACAACAATATCTATATAAATTTTGATTTAAAATTTGATTTAAAGCTTTCGTGACTGCAGGGATTCATATTCTTGGTTCTTTCGGTAAAGTCACGTAGAAGGGAAATAATAAAATAATATAAATATAATATCTATATAGCCAGGTGAATCTCCTCTGGGACTGAGTCGTTTTCAAGAGAGATCGTGACACAATGCTAAAGCTAAATCGGAACACAGCAGAGGGATCTCGGGAGTCCAAGGTGGTGTGCATCAGACACGGACACGACGATTGCGTGCGATTCGAGCAAATCTATTGTGAAAACAAAGCCCGCCGCTCTGTCTCATTAACGTGAGTATGGTCACCGTTTCTCGACAGCTTCTTCACTTCCAGTTCAGACGATCATTCATTTAGCACTGATCAGGCATTGAGCTCGGGATGCCGGCTTGAGTAGAGCAGTGCGCCAAACACTGCGCTGCCGCCCCCGCCAATTTGGAGTTATCATCACCATCACCATCAGCAGCAGCCATGACCAACCCACTGCTGGATTAAGGCCGCCCCAGGCCATCGCCACCTCTCACGATCCTTGCGATGTGACGATCCACCCAGGAGCGCCTGCACGCGTTCCGGTTCATATCGCATCTAATGCAACCTTATTTCACGACGCAGTCCCAGTCCGTGAGACGTACATCACAGCGGCAGCGAAGCTGTGTTTATTTCATCGTATACAATATCATGCACCATAAAAATCACGTTTCAGATTAAAAATTGTAGAAACAGGTCTTGTGTGTGCACACGGGTATGCCCGTATCGTGTGTGTTTGTGCATAAATATTTACGGTATAAATATAATCTGGGGTGTCTGCCAAGTGTGGAGACACACCTTGGGCGTGACACATGCACTTGAGCCACACCTGGAGTCGACAGCCACACCTGGAGGTTACGCACAATCCGGACCGGAGCGGGCGTTGTGACGGAGTGGATCCCCCTGCTCCCCGCCCCTCCCTTCCGCTCACCAGGTGCCTCACCAGGTGTGCCACAAGCTGGTGGTGAAAGTGCTGAGGGCCGAAAATGTGACCAAAGGGCGCCTGGGTGACATGAGTGAGTCGAGGGTGGCACTTCACACCTGCAACTCACCCCACACCTTAACCACTCATCCCTCCACATTCGCCAAGATGCGTTGTCCACCCCTGTTGTCGCCACTTGCCTCCTGTACTCACCCTCACCAGCCACCACCAACGCTTACCCCTCACCGCTTCTCTGCTCGCCACCCACCCCTCATTACTCACCTCACTCTCTTCGCTCACCACTCGCCCTCCCCACTCTTCACGCCTCCCTCTGTCATATCACTCCCATGCGAGCCGTGTTTGTGTAATCCCTTTAGCGGAGTAACCGACCGATAATTACTTACGTTCGCACGGCATTGTGGGGCAGTCGTAACACGGTGTGCCTCGCAACAACACCTACCTGGGTTTGATTCCTAACTTGGTCCGTTTGCTGCATCGGTGTCTTGCGGGTTCTCCAGTTTTCTTTCAAAGCCAAAAGCATTTGTGATTGGTCTTGGCCAAACGTCCCAATGCAGGATCCTCCTGATAAAGATTATTTGGACTCAGTGGGGCTTTCCGGGTAAATAAGTCATTATCACTATTATTGCAACGTTTACACAACTGAATGTGCTTGTGTGCACACGTGCGCGTGTGCAGTGGACACGCCGGACCCGTACGTGGTGCTGGACATCCGGTTGGCCGCCGACAGCTACAAGCGAACACGTCACCTCGACAATGACGTCAACCCCACGTGGAACGAGAGCTTCGACTTCCTCATCGACCTCAACATGGAAAACATCCTGGAGGCAAGGCCTCCATCGCACCATCACAGGGCATCCGTCTCCGGTTTTCAAAACCTCCAATCTAATCCTGTCCCCTGTGTCGGGTTTTTTAACCTGGTGTCTCATGTAATGCATCTGCTTCCTTCAAACCTTCTGTTGTCCTGGAGCGTAGTGTGGTTGGCCAGGGCACTGGTACAGAGAAGGAAATTTCCCCTTCCCCCCTTCCCTCCCACGGCCCCATTCCCCCTCTCTTCATAGCCTGCCGCCCCGGCCCCCCCGGCCCGTGGAGCCCCGGCCCATGCGGCCCCCCCCCCCCATCTCATTTCTGTCTCTTGTCTCATGGCTCCTCTATCTCAGATTTGCCTCTCGACATACAGTTCATTCCCTTCCAGTGTAGGGGGCGATGCTACTGCTCTGCGTAATCCCATTTAGACTCATTTGCGGCTAATTTTTCAGCATTGGGATGTTTGGCCGATACCAGTTACTTTGTACGTGTTCCTGAGGAAACCCATGCAGAGCAGGGTGAGAACTTGCAAACTCCACTCACTCACTCACTCACACTGTGCAGAGCAGGGGGAGAACTTGCAAACTCCACTCACTCACTCGCTTACACTGTGCAGAGCAGGGGGAGAACTTGCAAACTCCACTCACTCACTCACTTACACTGTGCAGAGCAGGGTGAGAACTTGCAAACTCCACTCACTCACTCACTTACACTGTGCAGAGTAGGGTGAGAACTTGTAAGCTCCACTCACTCACTCACACTGTGCAGAGCAGGGTGAGAACTTGTGAGCTCCACTCACTCACTCACACTGTGCAGAGTAGGGGGAGAACTTGCAAACTCCACTCACTCACTCACTCACACTGTGCAGAGCAGGGGGAGAACTTGCAAACTCCACTCACTCACTCACTTACACTGTGCAGAGCAGGGTGAGAACTTGCAAACTCCACTCACTCACTCACTTACACTGTGCAGAGTAGGGTGAGAACTTGTAAGCTCCACTCACTCACTCACACTGTGCAGAGCAGGGTGAGAACTTGTGAGCTCCACTCACTCACTCACACTGTGCAGAGCAGGGGGAGAACTTGCAAACTCCACTCACTCACTCGCTTACACTGTGCAGAGCAGGGGGAGAACTTGCAAACTCCACTCACTCACTCACTCACACTGTGCAGAGCAGGGTGAGAACTTGCAAACTCCACTCACTCACTCACTCACACTGTGCAGAGCAGGGGGAGAACTTGCAAACTCCACTCACTCACTCGCTTACACTGTGCAGAGCAGGGGGAGAACTTGCAAACTCCACTCACTCACTCACTTACACTGTGCAGAGCAGGGTGAGAACTTGCAAACTCCACTCACTCACTCACACTGTGCAGAGCAGGGGGAGAACTTGCAAACTCCACTCACTCACTCGCTTACACTGTGCAGAGCAGGGGGAGAACTTGCAAACTCCACTCACTCACTCGCTTACACCGTGCAGAGCAGGGTGAGAACTTGCAAACTCCACTCACTCACTCGCTTACACCGTGCAGAGCAGGGGGAGAACTTGCAAACTCCACTCACTCACTCGCTTACACTGTGCAGAGCAGGGTGAGAACTTGCAAACTCCACTCACTCACTCACACTGTGCAGAGCAGGGTGAGAACTTGCAAACCCCACTCACTCACTCACACTGTGCAGAGCAGGGGGAGAACTTGCAAACTCCACTCACTCACTCACACTGTGCAGAGCAGGGTGAGAACTTGTAAGCTCCACTCACTCACTCACTCACACCATGCAGAGCAGGGGGAGAACTTGCAAACTCCACTCACTCACTCACACTGTGCAGAGCAGGGGGAGAACTTGCAAACTCCACTCACTCACTCACACTGTGCAGAGCAGGGGGAGAACTTGCAAACTCCACTCACTCACTCACACTGTGCAGAGCAGGGGGAGAACTTGCAAACTCCACTCACTCACTCACACTGTGCAGAGCAGGGGGAGAACTTGCAAACTCCACTCACTCACTCACACTGTGCAGAGCAGGGGGAGAACTTGCAAACTCCACTCACTCACTCACACTGTGCAGAGCAGGGTGAGAACTTGCAAACTCCACTCACTCACTCACACTGTGCAGAGCAGGGGGAGAACTTGCAAACTCCACTCACTCACTCACACTGTGCAGAGCAGGGGGAGAACTTGCAAACTCCACTCACTCACTCACACTGTGCAGAGCAGGGGGAGAACTTGCAAACTCCACTCACTCACTCACACTGTGCAGAGCAGGGTGAGAACTTGCAAACTCCACTCACTCACTCACACTGTGCAGAGCAGGGTGAGAACTTGTAAGCTCCACTCACTCACTCACACTGTGCAGAGCAGGGTGAGAACTTGCAAACTCCACTCACTCACTCACACTGTGCAGAGTAGGGGGAGAACTTGCAAACTCCACTCACCACTCACACTGTGCAGAGCAGGGGGAGAACTTGCAAACTCCACTCACTCACTCACACTGTGCAGAGCAGGGTGAGAACTTGTAAGCTCCACTCACTCACTCACACTGTGCAGAGCAGGGTGAGAACTTGCAAACTCCACTCACTCACTCACACTGTGCAGAGTAGGGGGAGAACTTGCAAACTCCACTCACCACTCACACTGTGCAGAGCAGGGGGAGAACTTGCAAACTCCACTCACTCACTCACACTGTGCAGAGCAGGGTGAGAACTTGTAAGCTCCACTCACTCACTCACACTGTGCAGAGCAGGGTGAGAACTTGCAAACTCCACTCACTCACTCACACTGTGCAGAGCAGGGTGAGAACTTGCAAACTCCACTCACTCACTCACTCACACTGTGCAGAGCAGGGGGAGAACTTGTAAGCTCCACTCACTCACTTACACTGTGCAGAGGAGGGGGAGAACTTGTGAGCTCCACTCACTCACTCACACTGTGCAGAGCAGGGGGAGAACTTGCAAACTCCACTCACTCACTCACACTGTGCAGAGCAGGGGGAGAACTTGCAAACTCCACTCACTCACTCACACTGTGCAGAGCAGGGGGAGAACTTGCAAACTCCACTCACTCACTCACACTGTGCAGAGCAGGGGGAGAACTTGCAAACTCCACTCACTCACTCACACTGTGCAGAGCAGGGTGAGAACTTGCAAACTCCACTCACTCACTCACACTGTGCAGAGCAGGGTGAGAACTTGTAAGCTCCACTCACTCACTCACACTGTGCAGAGCAGGGTGAGAACTTGCAAACTCCACTCACTCACTCACACTGTGCAGAGTAGGGGGAGAACTTGCAAACTCCACTCACCACTCACACTGTGCAGAGCAGGGGGAGAACTTGCAAACTCCACTCACTCACTCACACTGTGCAGAGCAGGGTGAGAACTTGTAAGCTCCACTCACTCACTCACACTGTGCAGAGCAGGGTGAGAACTTGCAAACTCCACTCACTCACTCACACTGTGCAGAGCAGGGTGAGAACTTGCAAACTCCACTCACTCACTCACACTGTGCAGAGCAGGGGGAGAACTTGTAAGCTCCACTCACTCACTTACACTGTGCAGAGGAGGGGGAGAACTTGTGAGCTCCACTCACTCACTTACACTGTACAGAGCAGGGGGAGAACTTGTAAACTCCACTCACTCACTCACTTACACTGTGCAGAGCAGAGGGAGAACTTGCAAACTCCACTCACTCACTCACACTGTGCAGAGCAGGGTGAGAACTTGTGAGCTCCACTCACTCACTCACTTACACTGTGCAGAGCAGGGGGAGAACTTGCGAACTCCACTCACTCACACTGTGCAGAGCAGGGTGAGAACTTGCAAACTCCACTCACTCACTCACTCGCACTGTGCAGAGCAGGGGGAGCACTTGTGAGCTCCGCACAAGCGCCCGAGTCCAATTTGGCGTGAGTCTCACCGCGAGTGTTACCGTGCGTGTCACCGTGAGTGTCACCGTGAGTGTCACCGCGGCGCTGCCGCCCAGGTGTTGCCACGTTCATCACCTCCATCCCTGCCGCCCTCACGCAGGTGACGCTCATGGACGCCAACTACACGGTGGATGAGAAGCTCGGCTCGCAGAAGTGTAACCTGCGGGGGTATCTCCACGAGGGGCAGAGCTACCCGCTCACCCTCACCTTCAACAAGGTGGGGGTCACCCACCACCGCCCCCCCCCCTGGGGGCCACCCTCCTCTGCCGCCATTACCTGGCAGGCCCTGCACCCCTTAAGAACAATGAGTAGGCATCAAGTTATCAGCTGAACTTCAATCCGCTGCTGGATAAAGGCCTTCCCGAGCCGTCTACGTTTCTCATCGTTACGTGGGTAGACTCATGTGCTCAAGAATACATTTACTACTAATGCAATCCGTATGAAAGTTGTAAGCCAGTGGTGTGTTCATCGAACGGAGCCGATGAAACTGTAGAGGCAAGACGCGCTGCACGAAAGAGACGATAGAGGCGAGACGACCGTGACAGATCTGTTTTATTGGACTGTGAGCCTGGACCATCCATCGCATTCCAAGAGGAATAAGTTTTACAAGCCGAGTAACGAGCCGCGTGCGTAAATCGAGACCACCGACCCCCACGTTTCCCGTTGACGGGCCGAGCGGGGCGCGTGCTGATGTTCGTGCCCCGTGTTCTCTTTCAGGTCACCAAAGTTTACCTGGAGCTGCACCTGGAAGTGTGGTGAGTGGCGTCCCTCGGCGTGCGTGCGTGCCGGCGCGTTAGCGAGGACCGACTGAGGCCGGCGTGTCACTCGAGGAGCCGAGTGGCCAACAGCAGCACCACGCCGGGTACTATTTTAAGGAGAGACCCAGGACCGGTTCGGATATTTATTCCCTGCCGATGTTAGCCTTGATTAGCACGGTTCGTAAGGTGCGAAAGGAGTTCAACATACGAGCGGGAAATTGAACGCTGGTCGCCGGGCTCATAGGTGCTCGCTATCGGCGCTCTCCCTAACAGCGTGTCAAAGGCTGTATGGGAGGTGTTTGTGTGTGCGGTGAAACAAGGCGACAACTCGTGCCAGGCGTGCTGCTCGAGTGGTACAGTGGTCAGCGCACCGTGCCAAGAACCCCGGCGACCAGAATTCGATTCCTGCTCACAGCCAACATTGAGTGATAAAATATTTGAATTGGTCCTGGGTCTTCCTTAAGTCGTCGGTCTAAAAACGAGTACCTGGTGCAGCGTGTAAGCATCAACACTGGGGAGACGAAGGCAATCGGGCGCAGTGTCGATTACGCCACACCCTCGTGCGCCGTGCCGGCCTTCATTGTCGCTCACTAACGGAACTTTTCCCAACGGTCAGTGAAGGTTATAACCGGGATCTTTGTCTTTGCAGCACCTCGTCAGATCTGCGATTCAGCATCCACTTGTGCCAGGAGGAGAGCGAGTTCCGGGCGAGGAGGAAGGAGAAGGTGTTTGAGAGCATCAAGAAGCTGCTGGGCCCGGAGCGGGCACCCCGGTCCCACCGAGAGGTTCCCAGCACCCCAATCCTGCACCCTCAACACAGAGACGCACACTCACAACACACTCGCACATACACTCGTGCAGCACGCACACATACACGTATACACACACACACACTGCGGCCCAGCGTGGTGCCGGAAACCCATTGTTTGCCATGCCGGACTTGCCCCAACAGTCTGATAAAGGCTACACGGAGGATCCATGTCTGTGACCCCAGGTCCCCACGGTGGCTGTGCTGGGCTCGGGCGGGGGGTTCCGCGCCATGACAGCCATGGCCGGGGTCTTCAAGGCGCTGCAGGAGTCGGGGGTCCTCGACTGCACCACCTACGTGGCAGGGCTCTCCGGCTCCTCCTGGCAAGTGCCGAGCCGCACGCCCCGCCGCCTACTTTGATGTCCACTCGCATACCCATCTACTCCCTCATCCATCGCCTACTCCCTCCACCCGCTCACCCCTGCAGCTATCCACACACCCACACAACTGACCTTGCACTCACCTACTCATACTCACCTACTCACCCACTCGTGCAGCCTGGCCACCCACTCACCTGCCCACCCATCCGCAGGTACCTGTCCACGCTGTTCTCGCACCCGGAGTGGCCGCGCAAGCCAGTGTGGGAGGTCAACCAGGAGGTGAAGGTGTCCGCGAGCCACTCGCGCTTCTACCTGCTGCGCCCACAGAGCCTGCGCCGCTACGTGGAGGCGCTCTGGAAGAAGAAGCGCTTGGGCCAGCCCGTCACCTTCACCGACGTGTTCGGCCTGCTCATCGGGGAGACGCTCATCCCCAACGTACGCTCTCCCGTCCAGCCGTCCGTCGCTTTGTCCGTCCGTCGCTACGACTGTACATTCATCCGTCTGTTCACCCACTCGTCAGTCCATCCATCTCCCCGTCTATCCAACCTCTGCGTCCCAGCGTGTAAGGGGCTAGGGGCGTGGTGGTGGTGGTGCAGTGCGACGTGAACCCGGCCGCGTCGCGGCCCTCGACCCCCGTGGGTGTTAAGGGGCCGTCCAATTGTGCAGAGGATGCAGGGGAAGCTGTCGGACATGAAGCGCGCGGTGCAGGGGGCGGACACCCCGCTGCCCCTCATCACCTGCCTGCACGTCAAGCCGGACGTGTCGGAGATCATCTACGCCGGTCAGCACGCAGCCCCCTGTCCTAGCAGCCCTTACCCTGCCCTTGTCCCCAGCTGGCCCTGCCCTGCCCCCACCCCAGCTGACCATCTTGCGACCATGCCCCCCCTGCCCTCGGCACTGCCCCCAGGCATGCCCTAGCTGACGCCGTTGACCGATGATTTTGCCTTTGCCCGACCCTTTGTACCCGCGCGTGTGTACATCTGCGTATGCGCGCGTACACCCGTGTACCCGCACGGCGCAGACTGGGTGGAGTTCAGCCCTTTTGAGATAGGGATGGCCAAGTACGGCACGTTCATGCGCCCCGAGCTCTTCGGCAGCAAATTCTTCAAGGGCATTGCGGTGCGCAAGTACGAGGAATACCCCCTGCACTTCCTCATGGGTGAGTGGCACCGACTCTCGCGTCACCTCCGCTCACCTCCCATCTGCGCCCGCCCACCCCTCTCCGGGTGTGCCGCGAGTGATGCGGGGCGTTCGGTGTGCCGCAGGAGTGTGGGGCAGCGCCTTCTCCATCCTCTTCAACCGCGTCTTTCAGCTCGGAGACAAAGGCGAGTGCAAGACCACGATGGAGGAGGAGATAGGTAAGCATCGCACCGCACAGCCCGTCACACCACATGGCACACACCTCCCTGCATTCCACTACATAGCACTGCACCAACAGTGCCACACCACAGGGCACAGCCCACCGCACCATGCTGGTAGACTGGAGTAGGTGGTACGTGACTAGTAGTAGACACAGTCATAGTGAGAGGACATACTGGATGTGGTGTGCTGGGCGTGGAAATATATTCCGGGTCGCCGACACAAACAGACCGCGGCAGAAATTGATCCCTGGGAATGGGCACCTACAGATGCTGTACGAGGTGAACGTTGCACTGTTGTTGAGGTTGTTGTGACGGCGTACTGTGTTATGTCGTACATGGGTGGAGTTGTGGCACAGAGGTCAGCGAGCTACATACCTGGTGGCCTGAGTTGGATTCTCGCTCAGGGCCTACGTCAACAATGAATATTTGAACCCGTCCTGGTCCTGGGCCTCCCCTAGGTCAACTCAGCCTTAATGAGTATCTGCTTTCGGTGTGTAAACATCAGCATTGGGGAGACAAAGGTGGCCGAACATGGCGTTGGCTACACCACCTCATGTGCAGAGTTGGCGTTCATCAGGTGCTGCTCGTTAACAGCACTTGCCCGAACAGTTTGTGAAGGCTACACGGGGGACCTTTGTCTTTGTTACGTGCGTCTTACACAGCGAGCCTCACCGTGGAGACCATCACGAGCAAGCAAAGCGCTTCCGACAGCGACGACGAAGATTCCACCGACGGGATGAGTGGCGGCGGCGCCAATGCCGACGAGGTCTCGGAGCAGGCCAAGGCCGGTGGCACCGCTGCAGCGGCCGCAGGTGGCGGTGGCGGGAGCTGGGTGGAGCGCATGCTGACCACGCTGGTGGGCGACACGACGCTCTTCACGACGCGCGAGGGGCGCGCCGGCAAAGTTTTCAACTTCATGCGCGGACTCGACCTCACGAACGTCCCCCGCGCCCCCTTCACCCCCGCCTCTGCCGGGGGCAGCCAGCGCGACTACACCGACAACGACGTCGCCGTGGCCGGTGAGGGGCAGCCGCGAGAGAGAGGGAGGTCGGGGGGCGACGGGGAGAGGGTCTGGAGAGAGAGAGAGAGAGAGGGGCAGGGAGGAGTAGGGGCAGTGGAGAGAGAGGCAGGAGGGGGGGGGGGTGAGGAGAGAGGCAATAGGGGGGGGGTGTGAGGAAAGAAGCAGGAAACGGTGCCAAGAAGTGTGAAGGCCCAAAGCCGTTATAATGAGCCCTGTGTAGTTTGCTGCGTGTGCACATACCGTGTTCCCACGTGCCTCTGCCCATCCTACCCGTGCCACGCATGCTGCAAGCACGCCATGTACGCGTGTGCGTGTGGATGATGTGTGCGCGTATGTGTGCGCGTGCGTGTGCGCAGACCCCGAGGAGTTTGGGATGATCTACGAGCCGCTGGACGTGTGCAGCAAGAAGATCCACGTGGTGGACAGCGGCCTGACCTTTAACCTGCCCTTCCCGCTCGTGCTGCGCCCTCAGCGCGGCATCGACCTCATCCTCTCCTTCGACTTCTCGGCGAGGCCCAGCGACTGCAGCCGCCCATTCAAGGTAGGCACCGCACGGCGGCGGCGATAGCAACGGCGGTAGGGACCATTGGGGTGCTGCTGTTGTTGGCGATAGCAACGCTGGTTACAGTGGTGGTGCTCGAGACGACGGGGTTGATAGTGGTAACAATTGCGGTACTGCTGCTGTTGGTGACAGCAGCGATGATAGCGCCCATGCCGTTGGCGGTCACGGTGCCGCGGCAGCGGCAGCTTCGACGATGGCGTTGCCGCTATTGGCGGCGGCGGCGTTTACCGCAGTTACTGCAGTTACCGACGCGTGGTCTCGCCGGTGCCGGCCGCACGAGCAGGAGCTGCTGCTGGCGGAGAAGTGGGCGAGGATGCACAAACTGCCGTTCCCGCGCATCGACGAGAACGTGTTTGACCGCGAGGGCCTCAAGGAGTGCTACATCTTCAAGCCGCAGGACGCTCGCGAGGAGCGGCGTTGCCCCACCGTCGTGCACTTCGTGCTCGCCAACATCGACTTCCGCAAGTTCAAGGCACCAGGTGCGCTGCCTGCTTGTGGGGCCCGGGGCCGGCGCCTCGCTCGTCCCCCCTCCGTGCTGGATATGGGGGAGGGGGGAGGGGCACGGCCGCAGATGTTATCGCAGACAGCGCACTGAACTTGCTATCGCCGAGGTCCCCGGTTCGATTTGATCTCCCGGCGTGGCGGTTGGCACAACGGTGCACGTTTCTTGAATCTCCACGCCACGCGTGCGCCGTGGCCCCGCATGGGAAAACCAGGGGAAAACCAGGGGTAAACCCCTGGTTTGCGGCACTATTGAAACGTCGAGAGCATTGCACAACGCCGCGTTTAGCTTGCGAACGGAGAAACGAAGGGGGCTGTCGTGGCGATGGGGACGGTCAGCTGGAGCATCTCCTCCAGTCGTTGTCAACACAAAACAGCGTAAACGGTTACACCACAGTTAGGAGATCGGTGGGTGGGGTAAAATGTGGGTCCCTTCCACCTCTTCCACAAAGTCTGGCCAACATGGTCTTCACGGCTCTGGTGTTCCCATGGTGAAACATTCCTAAATCCATCCATGGTCCACCCACCGCAGTTTTACATCGGCCAACTGGCCTTTTGGAGTCATAGGGACCCCCTGCCTGGTACAGCAGAGGGTGCGGGTGAGAGGTCAGAGGGTAAAGGTGAGTGCCGTGCCCCCTGCCACTCCGCCCAGGAGTGCCGCGGACCACCAAGGAGGAGATGGATTACGGAGACTTTGACATCTTCGATGACCCGTGCTCCCCGTACTCCACATTCAACTTCCACTACGCGCCCGAGGCCTTCCAGAGGCTACACGACCTCATGGAGTTCAACACCCTCAACAACATCCAGGTGAGACTCAAAATGGTGCTCGCTACAAGGCACCGTGACACACCGCAGATATACACACACAGCCACACACACAGCCACACACACAGCCACACACACACACAACAGCTCGCCCCACCCCCGCACAGCCGCATCCGTCCCCCGCCCCCCCCATGGCTGCAAGCCCCCACTTGTGGGCAGCAGCAGCACAAGTTTCCGTTCACGTCTCCCGGTCTCCGAGTGGGAGTGAGCGGGCGAGGACAGCAAGGGCAGCTCTCAGAATCTCGGAGTGGAAACACACGGAATTAAACAAACGTAAATTAAAATAACATTCCGCGCGGAGCTCTCCGCGCGACACAGTGCAGACACTCGGCTGGGAAACGCGACGTCCCCGGCAGAGCCGCGACAGTTCCCCCGGAGCGAGGGGGGATGGGGCCGCACGGCCACCGCCACGTTGTTTGTTTTACCTGCGGAGCCATTTTGTTCCTGCAACCACAGCCGTGGCACCTGCCAATAGCAATGGGCACGTACCGGGCTTTGTCAATCCACTGCAGGATGAAGGACTCGGCATGCCGCACTGTTCACTGGGTTGGGGGGCGGGGGGTTGTTTGACCATACTTCACCACGTTGGTCAATGTAGGTTGGGGAAATAGGGCCCCAGGACCGGTTGGGATTGGCACTGGCGTTCCGGTAGCCGGGAGCGAAACTCGCATTGCCAGGTTCATAGCACGCTGCGCCATCGCTCCCTAACCACCCCCCCCCCTTTGCTCCGCCACCACTCCTGACGGCCCCCACTCGCCAGGCCATCAAAGACGCCATCGAGCTGAGCATCGACTACCGGCGGCGCAACCCGACGCGCCAGTCGGTGACGCTGGCGGAGCCCGGCCGGGTGCTGCTGCGGCCCATGGACGGCTCGCGCAAGCGGCCGGCGGCCGAGCCCCTCCACAACCTCCTCACCTGACGGCACCGGCGGGGAAACGGGGTCGCGGCGCCGGCCGCGCGGGAACGAACCGACCGGAGCGGGCGGCCGGACAGGCGTGTGGATGAATGGACTACCGGGTAGACGGGGGGGGGAGGGGGGGGTGGAATGGCGTACCAAGATGGGCGGGCTGACGCACACACGGACGGACGCACCATTCTCTGTATTATCCGTGGGCACATTATCGAAGTTGTGACAAAACTAAACGTCTCGGCGCACGTGCCGGTCCTATTCTTGAGACGCTCTTCCCTCTCGCAACCGTTACTCAGTGCCCACCGTGACCACAAACATGTCGGAAGTTCGACCCCCTGACAAGCAATACAAACGTGACACGTAGCGAGGTTTTTTTCCCGGGAGAGCCCTCCCCTCCGTGAGGAATGAAGAGTAGCGCGGTGCCTCAGGTGTAGCGCAGGGCTGTGAGGAACGCGGGGCGCTACGCTCCACACGCGGCTTCGGTCGGCCAGCGGGGGAACGCGACGCTGCCTCCCAGTGCGGTCCCAACCGAGGGCTACTTTGACGGTGGTCACACCGCCCGGCACACAATGGCCAAGTCGGTAAATGCTCGTGCGCATTAAATATTTTTGGTCGTGTGAGGTGGTGGAGGGTCCTAACGACACAGATGGTTACATGGCCCATCCCAAAAATACATCCTGAACCGAAGGACATTTAAGGGATGGGTAGGCCGGCGACAAAAGGGATACGTAGGCAGACGGGGCCCGCGCGAGGGAAAGGTCGTCTTACAGAATAGACTCGGCGCTGTAATCAATTTCTACGCTCATCGACTGTTGCGCGACTATGCGCATATATTGTACGCGATTGGTTAATGTGATCCCGGGATGGATAAACCTACAGGGCTGCAGATGACACTGTATTTACTTGTGACACGACTATCCTGGATTCCACCCAAGTAGCCAGCAAAAACATCCTGGCTGATATCACCGCCATCATCACAACCCCCCCCCCCCCGTACCTCCAAGCCCTTCCGTAGAAGCAAAGGTCGTGTTTGTTATTTGGGGAGATTCCCAACGTCCCCGGCATACCGCATCTTGTATTCCTCCTCTCGCTCTGGCTGTGGCTACCGGACACATTCCACCGCTTCCAGTGTTACCTGCCCCGCGGAAAACATGTTCGTAAACCTGCACACCACATCCAGTAGAACTCCCCTTGGCTCTGCCTTCAACAACGTGCAGCCACGTGCCACGCACTCCCGACTTAGCAGCAGCAGCGTGCTCCGCAGTTGTGACGCTCATGAGCCCGAGAGCGACACGGGGACCAACTGCGCCCTGCTGCCCCCTTCCCCCGTGGCCCTGCCCTGTTGCCCTGCCCCGTGGCCCTGCCCCGTGGCGCTGGATGTGCAACGTGCGTCACGTCGCGGGATATTCATTGCGGGATTTCCCACCGGGTTTCCCAAATCCACTGCAGTGAGTCTGTGCGCTTGAGTCGCCGTGGAATTATTGTTAGCTTATTATAATACAAATAATGGGTCATAAAAACAAGCGCGGTCTTTAAATACACACGCAAGGCATATGTGTCACCTCCCTGTGCTCCCTAGTACTAATGCCTTAGAGAGCGGATACGTTCAGCCTTTTCATTTCCGTTTCTTCAACTTTGCCAATAAAGTAAAAACTTAGAATTGCGTCAGAGCGATCCAAACTGAGTGTGCGTGCGCGTGCGTAAACCACCACCGAAGTGGCAGGCAATAAAAACGTCCTCGTCAGCCGAACGGCAGAGCCAAACTGGGTGCGTGGCCACCACCCCCATGAGCCAGCGAGTTTAGACAGCGAGTTGAGACAGCGAGTTCGAGGAGGTGGCGAGGGGGCCTCGTCCCACACAGGAATCGGTCCCCGGGGTCTCGCCGTCTCACAAAACGAAGGGGGCCCAAGGGGATACTACCTCTCGTTCCATCGCAAGATCCAATCAAATACCGTTCCACGGTTCTCTCCCAAGTGCAAACTGCTCAATACATTTCAGAAACAAGTTTTAGATCTGGTTTCTGCCAGCAGCATTTGTTTAAGCAGGCAAAAGTGGACCGGTTTCACCTTCTCCAAGTCTCATCAGCAGTCAGGCCTGTTATACAAATGGTTCCAGGTTAAGGAATTGCACCTCCAGAGCGCCTGGTTAAATTCCTCAGGAACTCGAATCGCCTTGCACCCCATCTCATCTCAATTAATCCGACGCCTTGCTGCAGTGGAGCCACCTCTCCCTGCGCGTCGCAATGTGTACGGCGCACTGGCCTGCAAATGGGAATTTGTATGACCGATGTTACAAGCAAGGGCTGTCGAGACATGTTTTTAATAGGTGAAGGTTGCTGGAAATTAAGTGGCTTTCTGCTCATGTGTTTCACACCACGAGTCAGAGGTGGAGATACCACGTCCGTATGGCGAACACCGATCCGCGATGTTGGGGTGGTGCCGCGTTGATCCATCGCCAGCTCACGCACGTCACGTGCGAGCGGAGGGATCCACGTCCTTCTGACGATGTTCACCGCGGGGGTTTCCCCGCGCCGCGTGCGAGTTCACTTCCTGTTTGGGGCCGACTCAGCCCTTCTGGAATCTTGTCTACAAGAGACAAAGGTCCCCCGTGTATCCTATACAGACTGCTGGGGCAAGAGGTGCTCGCGAGCGCCTCTTCATGCCGGCATGGCACCAGGGGTAGTGGTTCGGTCAGCACCACGGCCACCCCCGGCCGCCTTTGTCTTTCCCGTGATGACGGTCACACACCGTATCCGGTACTCATGTAGGGCCGAGATGACCTATTAGGGGAGGTTTAAAACAATGCCCCGCAGTTCATGTTTCGCCAGACACGTAGGGCTTGACATTTGGACCGTGGAATTTCCAAAATTTCAGTGGAAAATTCCCGTCAGAGAAGCCGGGACCAGGGCCTCCCCCTGGTCCACTGACTGTGCACCTGGGAGGGGCTCAAAGGGAAAGTGGGGGGCGAGCAGGCACGGGAGACGGATGAACGGTGGGGGGAGCGAGGGGGCGGGGCAGGGATTATTATTAGAATGAACATCGACAGTCAACATTTTCCGAATTCCTCTCCTGATCCCCGAGTTCTGTCCGTGCCTTGCACCGCGTCTGGCTGAAGAGGGGGCTGGGATGGCTGCGGTGGCCAGGGGTTGGCGAATCACGAAAAGATCACGATCGTCGTCACATCCACGCCTCTCTCTGCAAATAAGACTCGTCTAAGTCCCTAGCGTTCGCACAGAGGTCAAACCAAATCCACTCAAAATACGAAACTTTCACTGTTGCCATAACCGTGATTACCAACCTGAGCCAGCCATCCCAATTACGGACAGGACCCTCTTGCAAAGGTCGTCCTCGTGCACTCGTGGTCAAAGAGAGGGCTGCTCACTGCGACAAATGTCGGAGTGGCAGCCGAGGAATGGAACGCGCGCGTGCGAGAGGTCATCCACGATGGAGATGGAGCCGCGAAGTTCGCGTGCTGGATGGACGGATTGTTCCATCGCAAGCTCCCAGAGACGTGACGGCGGCATGGGCAGTGGATCGACCAAGGCTGATGATGATGAGGATGATGGCTCCTACTCCGACAATAAACATGCGACCCGGACGACCACCCGGGCGGTCGCCGTCTCCCGGCAGAGTCGCGGCGACGCCGCCGGCTTCTTGAATCGTCGCCGCCGCCCCCGCCAGGGTCGACGTGGACAGCGGCTCGGCGTTGACGAAGTGGCACGTGTGGCACGCGTGGTGGGTTCCAGTGCGGGGACTCCCAGCCCTTCCCACACGGCTGGTCGGCGTGGAGACGCGGCCAAGCACCCTGTGGAGCTCCCTCGAGGGGAGGGGCCCTTCAGCCAGCAACGTCACGAATAAGCCATTGCAGGTCTGCGACTTGACCTCACAGAGACATCAGTAGAGTACTGCAAGTAGCACAATCTACTCAAGTTTACCCATCCCGCCACGCGACACCAACACGAGCTCGTGTTTGTCCCGTGGACCAGCCTGGGCCTGCCATCCCACTTACGCGCAGGATCCTCTTGGAGCGGCATCCTCGAGGGTCCGCCAAGGACCCTGGCGAAGCACGGCGCCTCCGTTGTGGCACGTGGCGGGGGGGGGGGGGGCGTTCATCTCCGCTTGACCGACCTCCTTTGTACGCAGAGATTGAACGCCCCCCACCCCTTCCTGCATCGTGAGGGATCAAGGTAGAGCCGGGGTGGAGGTGGAGTACGTGAAGGGGGGGGGGTACGTGGAGGGGGGGGGGGTACGTGGGTGGAGACGCTCCATTTTCCACGACCCAACCGAAGTTTCCGAGGCCGAGTTGGTGACCGTGAAAGTCGACTGACAAACAGAGAACCACTCGCAGGGCCTCCAGTCGGCAACCTTGAGACCGGCTTCAACCTCCTGGAAACGCTCGCTGCTGGAGTACCCAGTGGCCATTGGCAGGCGGACTCCACGCAGTCGGTCTACGCACCACGCGGCCAACCAAGTTCGATTCCCCGCTACGGCCGTGCCATCATTACCGATCCCACCCAAGCGCTTCTCTCACGAGCCTCACCTCGGAGGAGCCGCCTGACCAGGGAACACGTGACCTCCCCACGCCGTGTCGGTCGATGGTGGCCGTTTGACCATACTTCACTACGCTGGTCAGTGTGGGTAGGGAAAGTGAAAGCCCGGGTCCAAGTTTAGACATAACTTGGATCGCGGCCAGGAATCGAACTCAGGTTGCCGGGTGCGCAGCGGAGACGGGGCAGGAACCCACCTCGACACCGCTCCACTTTGCGGCAGGCAGAATCCACCCCGGGGTTTTCCCCCCCAACCCCGAATTTCAGATGACGTCTGCAGGCGTGTTAATTGATATGAATGATTGCTGGTAATTACACAGCAGCACACGTGGCGCTATTGCCAGGCCAGTTTTGGGTTTGGAAAGTTACAGGGACTTAATTCAGTCGCTGTCCCTTCACCCCCTAATTAACTTAATTAACCAACTTGGCACGCGCTGCCGAGACAGGAAATCCAGAGTGCAGTTCGTAAGCTCGTCAACACGGACGCTGAATGAACATCTCGCGGGCTTTACAATCTCACCTCGAACGGCGTCATCTTCCGCTTCTCGTCGAGTTTGCTCGGTCGAGCAAACTGCGTCACCACGCTGACGGCGGTCACAACACACCCAGCTGCACGACCAGTCAACCACCAGCTCACTCGGCATACTGCAGGTCACAACTCAACAACTTGTTTTTATATTTACCAGGTAAGGCCCCACTTGAGCTGCTCTGGAGCTCTGAAGCGACCCTGGGCCGTCGCGAGTGACGGCTCGACGAATTGGGCTCGTCACGTGGGAATGTCGAGCAGCCAAAAATACTCTGAACGCGTGGTGACGTCGATTCTGAACGTGGAGGGAAAAACGGGAGGGCCCGCAGAAAAATCCATGCGACCACGGGGAGAACATTCAAACTCCAAATGTACAGGGATATAACCTACGACCTCCTGCGTATCAGGCGAGGGAGACATCTCGCCACCGTGGCACCAACACCCTGCAGATCATCCCCCCCCCCCAGCTCTCACGGCAACAATAACAACGTTGCTGCTCAAGCTAATGAACGTCTTGACCTCTTTGTCAAAACGTTGCCAGTGCTGCTGGCCTACAGAGTGACGTGTTGGGCCTTTACTCCAGACATTGTGAGAGTAAAACAAGGACGCGGGTTGGCCATTGCCCACGATGGGCACAGACCCTCAGAGACGCCTTCTCGACAACAGCTTCCACGGCCACCCGATCTCGCGCGTGACTTAAGAGGTGAAGCCGGCAGCATTCGTCGCCCCGGGTCGTATCGAGGCCACTTCTGATTGACCAACTCGGATTCGTTTAACCCGCCTCCCACAAACACCAATGAGCCGTCATCTCATGTCCTTGCTTCCTTCCTCCCCAATCACATTGTAGCTCTGCGGCGACGGCTTTATCGAGTCAGGGCAATTCTCGTAAAATCCCTTCCCCCACATCTCTCTCGACTCTCCAAACCCTCACGTAGCCCCATTGTGTGGCCCTGGGGACGTAGGCACCGCCAGGATGCCGCGGGGCTGCCAAGGGAAGTGTTAGTGATAAGTGCGGGGCCGCCACTGCAGCAACAACCCAGCTCGCCAAGGCGCTCTCCCGGCCACTCTCACGCGAGTGGCGGATGCAGAGGCGCGCAAACACGGGAGCCGGGGTGGCGATTGTGCTGCGTTTGTTTAGGCAGCAACGTGCAATGTCTGCACACGGATTTAATAACACTCACACAGCCAACAACACTTACACACACAGCATAGCCAACAACACTTACACACAGCCAACACTCACACAGCATAGCCAACAGCACTCATACAGCATAGCCAACAACACTCACAGACAGCCAACACGGCAGAGTGGTGCACTGGTACCACTCACAGCCAAAACCATTTAACTCCTGTGTCCTTTGGGGCAGGTTTCTATTATCTCCCTCCGTTATGCATGGGTTTCTCCCGGGTTCTCTGGCTTATGTAGAAACAAAACATTGCTATAGGTCAAAAAATCTAAGGCTAATAAAATACCTGCAAATTAGTCGATTAGGATTACAAAGATACCCCGTTTTTCCAGAAGACATTTGAAGTGTTGTTCGTGAGCACCTACGAAGGGCCGCACCTCCGATTAACGCTGGCTACGTACGGTTTCAAAGTTCAACATGCATACAAGGCCAACTTGTTTCCCCAGTGTCGATGTTTACACACTGCAGAAAGTACCCAGTTGAGGCCAAGTCGACCTAGGAAAGATCCAGGCCAGGTCCAGATAATTGGCACTCGTTATGGCCTCGAGTGGGAATCGAACCCGGGTCGGGTTCATTGCGCCGCACGCGAACCACTCCACTGCCCCTCCCTCACACACACACGCGTACACGTACAAAAAGACAAAGATCCCCGATATAGACCAACCGCCTTTGTCTCCCCAATAGTGTTTTTATGCATTGCACCAGGTACTCATTTGAGGCTGAGTCAACCTAGGGGAGGCCCAAGTCCGGCTCAGATAATCGTCACCGATGTTGGCCGTGAGCAGGAATCGAACTCGGGTCGCCAGGTTCGTAGCACAGCGCGCTAACTGCTACACTGCCGCTCCTCACACACACGTGCACGCGCACACACACACACGAGCAGCAAGGCAGGCGCACGCAAAGACTGTGTGAAGAAGCCGACGGTTTTATTGAGGGCGATGGTGGTGGAGGTTGGGGGAGGCCTCACTAGGCCTTGACCGCAAACTTCCTCATGGGGAAGAGGCGCGTCTTGCGCTCCTGCTTCTTGGTGCGCAGGGCCTCCTCGTGCTTGCTGAGGCGCCGTCGCATGGCGCGCGTCTTCTTGGGCCGCAGGTCCAGCGGCTTGTACTTCTTGCCCTGCTCGCGCACGCACACAATCATGTCATCAAGGGAGGCAATGCTCCTGTGGTTTGGTTTAATTACACTGTTGCCGAGCAGAGGCCAACCATGTCATGTGACCAGCAACAAACAGCACTTTTAAAGTTGTGATGGATAAGCGTGAAACACATTTCTTAAATTTTAGTAAGATTGTCATTCGAACTTATGAAGAGGGATGATGGCAGGGAATTCCAAGTGGAGCATTGCAAGGGAAGAGGCAGCAAGAGGAAGGAGTGTCGCGGTGACCTGCCGTGTGGTGGTTGGACTCCGTGTGGTGGATCAGACGAACTCAATGCCGGGTGGACCCAATTCTCAACACGGGTGGAGGAATCAGCAAGCGGAGTTCACGGGAACAGTAACCACGGCCGTAGCGAAGAGTGATAAGCGGGCCACTGACCGCTGCTGGCGAGCGAGTGACCGGACTAAATCATCGAGTGCTTGGCCTTGCACAATCCCTGCCTGCAGTGAGTTGGCAGCCAACTGAGGGCCAACAGAGCGCTCGAAGGGGTGGTGTGTGACCAGAAGCAGCACGCTGGAAAGCTTCTTCAGGAACACAAAAAAAGTTGTTCTTAAAGAAGCTTGCACAGCATGTGGAGTTAAACGTTGGACATCCCGACAACAAACTGAAAATGCACGGAGAGGGCTCTGTGCAGGAGGCGCCCGGTGCCCCCTCCACGTCGAGTTAAAACGCGCACCGCACCCAAGCGGCACCGGAGCACGTGGGGGGGGGGGGCGGCTGATCGGGGGATTTAATAGAAGCGGTCAAACGGAGCGGGCAACGTCGTTCGCGTTAACACGCGCCGGCACGGGGTGGCACGCGGGTGCGGCGATGGGGCAGAAACAGCAATTCCCCCGTTGGTCCAGCTTGTGGCACGATGAATCGTGTTTACAGCGACACATTACGAGCCCGAGTAAAGTTCTGCTTGAAAAGCTCGGTGCTGGGCACAAGAGCTGTAAACGTGATCCAGGCAAGCATCACGTTTACAGCTCCACAACTCCTCTTGCTGCACGTGGCTCGGCGAGAGGCAACTCGGAGCTCTGCATCCACGCGAGAGCCAGACGACCGCTTCACGAAAGGCCCAGCAAAGTGCCGCTGTTGCCGCCGCTTCCGTGGAAATTGTAAAGTTCGCAGCGGTTGCAACGCGCCCGATGCTTTGGTCAGGGCCACATACGTCAAGGTGGTGACCAGATCTGGCTAGGGCTGCGGGGACCACGTGCGCCGTCGTGGCGGGGGAAGGGTGGCCCAAGGGGGCCGAGTGTCCCTCCCTTGGCTGAGATGGCAGCAGAGCACAGCAGCAATGCTCGCCATGGCGCTTTGGCTGCAGAGCCACGTGGATTCACGATCCTTCACCGCCCCCTTGTGGCCACACTCAATTATTCACCTCTACCAACTACCAACTCAAACCCAACTCTCAGAACTTGAAACGTCACAATTTAATTCAGGAATGGATTTTACAAAACAATCTTGGTTACACCGTCTTGGCGCATGTGCGTCTAATTTCTGACGTCTAACCTATGTACTGCCGGTCAGCGTGACGTGACGAAGCCTTTAATTTGGGTGTCAATGGATGTTGCGGTCTGGCTGCTCTCTAGCGGGCACCACGTGGCCCCGCACACCCCGAGGGACGTGTTGCTTGCGTTATGGATTATTTGGTTACAGGCTCACACAACTATACAGTGGGTTCAAACACGCAGAATGAGAACCAATATTGCCTAAACTTATTCCCCTCCTGAGGAGTAGGAATCGGTGAAAACAGCTCAACGACGGCTCGGCACCTGGACGCTCTCTCGCCGTGGCACGCGCCTTGTGCGCCACCGTGGATTACGGATCTTATGCCATCCTCCTTACGAGCTTACAGTGCATCCATCATCGCATTAGAGTTGGGGACAGCGCCTTAGCGGTGACGCACGCCGCACCGCCGTGGCCCGGTGGCGAAGACGTTAACCGGGGTGACTGGGGGGGGGGGGGGGGGGGAGATTCGGCGGGGCGGCACATTCGGGGTGGCCGACCACGGTAGGGACCAATTATAGTCAAGGGCAGTCAGGTCGGAGGGAAGCAACGGCATAGAGCAGCCAGGTCTGCAATAATCAGTATTTTGTAATTTCCTTCAAATGTCATGACGAGCGGGCTATCAGACGTCACGAGTAGAAACACCGACTCAGAACTGGCACGGAGCAGTGCAATCCTGTTCTCGACGACGGCTTGGGGAAGCGGATTTCGCCGTCAGCACGAAAATCCCGACATGTGAGCAGCAGAGGGCACTTGAAAGAATCTCAGTGGTAGCTCTCCGATATCCAGCTACACGAGAGCCATGTTCGTCGCTTGACAGTCAAGGAATTCAGTCAACTGAACTGCATAAGAAACCGAGATTGGATTCCAGGACCTCAGCGGTGCTGCCTCAGTGCTCTGACCTCCAAGCCACTCGGCCACCTCGGTTCTCTTCAGACGGGTGGGAGGGGGGGGGTCATGCCTACAGGAGGTGGAGCGGTTGCGCTGCATTTCGGTGGGGGGGGGGTGGCGCCCTCTAGTGGCTAGAGCCACGTGGTCGCCACTCACCTTGTAGAACTTGCGCAGGTTCTCCTTCTGGGTCTGGTTGATCACCGTGAGCACACGGGCGATGGACTTGCGCACCACGCGGCTGAGGAGAAAGGAGACGCGCACACACGGGACATCAGCAACGCAGGGCACCCCGGGGGCACGGCACGGGGCCCGCGGGCACCACGGCACCGGGAAGATGCGGGGCGCCGGGCGGTAGAGCCCCGAGACCGCCATGCTGCTACGCGGGTTATTCTGCTGTGTGCGGCGCACAGCCGTGGCGATGTGATTAATTTGGTTGTAGCTGGTGTGTGGTGCAGTGCTCACATTGTGGCAGTGGGCCGTTGTTTACGGTTTGGTGGAGGTGGTGTGCGGATAAATGTGCTGTGTGATAGTTGTGTGGTGTGGGACGGTTGTGCGGAAGCAGATACGGAGTACAAGGTTGAGCGTGACGTGCGGTCGCGATGCGGTAGCAGCTGTGTGGGTGCGCGCTAGAGGTACACGACTGTTACGTGGGTGCTGCCAGGTCGTGCGAGGTAAGGATATGTGGTTCCTGTAAAAAGCAGCTAGGCATTATGTGGTTATAATGCACAGTACAGTGTGTGGTTATAGTGTACAGTACATTGTGTGGTTATAGTGTAGAGTACAATGTGTGGTTATAGTGTAGAGTACAATGTGTGGTTATAGTGTACAGTGTGGTTGTGGTGTACAGTAGTCGTGTGCTGTGCGGTAGAGTTGCAAAGTAGCTATGCATGGTGGTGTGCTGTAGTGGCACGCAGTAGCTGTGCGCGCCGTGGTTGTGGAGCATGGTAGCTGTGTGGTTGTGGCAGCAGAGCGGTGTGGTCGTGCAGTGTGGTAGTGCAATGCGGTAGTGGTCGTGCAGTGCCGTAGTGGTCGTGCAGTGCGGTAGTGCAGTGCGGTAGTGCAGTGCGGTAGTGCAGTGCGGTAGTGGTTGTGAAGTGCGGTAGTGCGGTGCGGTAGTGCGGTGCGGTAGTGCAGTGCGCGGTAGTGCAGTGCGCGGTAGTAGGGGTCTCACATCTTGGAGAGCTTGTTGGCCGCGCCGCCCGTCACCTTGGCGACACGCAGCTGGGACAGCTCCTCCTTGAGCTCCTCCAGCTGCTTCAGCAGCTCCTCCTTCTTCTTGCCGCGCAGCTCGTGAGCCTTAATCTTACCCTGAAGCAGCAGCACGCACACACACACACACAAGGCGCCCGTCATCAACGCGCACTGGTACACGTAACACTCGCATGTATCACGCAGTGCTACACGCGACAAACCAGCAACGCACACCAACACACATCACATACCACACCAACACATCACACCACACCAACACACACCCCAACACACATCACACCAACGGCGCGCACCAGCACAGACAACTCCAACAGCGGACATCTCAAACAGTGCAGTTCACATTAAATAAAATTCCTATTACACGTGGGATAGAACTACGTAAAGCGTGGCTTATCTATTGAATAAGTCACTGGTTCGATACGTACTCGACGAATACGACAGCACCACCGTCACCATCCCCACGTGGACGGGTGTCGTCGGGTTCGACCCACTCTGTTTAATGAGCAGCACTCCCGCAACGAGAAACTTTACAGTTTATTTCTCGACCGCAGTCCGAAGTGGTTGCTGACAAGAGGTCCACTTTAAAAAAATCTAACTACAGTATATTAATAACAAGCTTCTTTTTAAAGTGTGAAATGTTGATTATTATGCGTTATATCGTGTCGGTACACAATGCCAATTCATCAATTATAACCCTCCACCACCCGACAGAGCCAATCGACTCAATATTAAATGTTTACAAATCAATGTGGAATGTTCATCTGAAATCGTGAAGCCGCCTCCCAGGAGGCAACTTTACATCGCTCGCGGCGGGGAACGCGCACTGAGGCAGCGACTCCCCACGGGTCCCGCAAACACCAGCAGCAGCAGCACAACGCGGTCAGCAGCACCCCAAGAGCACACGCCAGGAGGAGATCAACTCGTGAGGCCGTGGCCCTCGCCAGGAGATCAACTCGTGAGGCCGCGGCCCACGCAAAGCCCCACTACCCCGCCACCATCATTCCTCAGCAACACAACTCTCACCCTCGCCACCACTCTCCTTCGTCACATCTAATCCCCATTTACCGTCTCTCGAAATTAACCCCGACATCGTTTCCTTCTTCACCACCTTCTCGTCAAACGCACGAGAGTTTACGGACGCGGCCTCCACTCGCAGGCCGCATCCTCGCCCAACAAATAACCACAAGACGGAGCCTGATCCGCCCGCAGAACCCGGCGCCCCACATCGAGGGACCTCTGTTCCACATCCCCGCACGCCCCGCGGGGCCCGCTGGCCGCGGTGGCCGCCGATGTTCGCGGATTCTCGCGGCCCCGCAAACCCAACTTCACCATGGCGGCTCCGGTGGGAGAGAGAGAGAGAGGCGGGGTCACGGCGCGCGTAACCGCGTCCGGGTCACCGGGTGATACCAAATGTGGGTTAGCGGGGGGGGGAGGGGGGCAGCGCGCTAATAGTATTGCCCTGTAGTGGGCGTGGCGAGGCGTGGGCGTGGCATGCCCATATATGGGCGTAAGCGGTCGGGGAGGGGGGAAAGGCGCGCTAATGGTATCGCCCAATGACGGTATTTGCCAATGGGAACGCTGCTGGCCATTCAGAATCAGAATATTTATTTATGCTGGATGAATCCGATGAGCTATAAAGCTCTTCTTCACATATGTCCATTCGGGGCGGGTAATACTGTTACATCAACAAACAATACATCAAAGTGATAGGCGTGTAAAGGATAGGAAAGGTAAAAATGATCGGTTTAAAAAACTATACAAAACTAAACATGTTTTATCTTACCAGGTCAGGCCCACTGAGCTATTAGGTTATTTTTCAGAGGCGACCTGGCCACAAATGATAGCTCCACAGTGGCGTATGTGGAAATCTATAGCAGTAACATAATAACAGGACCCTGCGGGGTGGGCTGGTAGGAATAATACTTAGTACCGGTACAGGGATATCGACTGGGTATAGAGGAGTTAAAGAAAAAATTACTGTATTCTAGTGTAACGTTAATTAAAAGTGTTTGTTTTGACAAGAAACGCTGTGAGATTTAAAGACCCCCCCAACACCACCCTCAACACCACCCCCCACCACCACCTTCTGCACTAGGCCTCGCGAAGCCTGCCGCACTAGGCCTCGCGAAGCCTGCAGCACTAGGCCTCGCGCCGTGCTTTTCGTGCACAAATAAGGCGATTAAATGTATCTCGTCTCTGTGTTAATAAATGTTTCTTGTCTCTGTGTTAAAAAAACGTGCTGCGTTTCATCTGTGTTAATAAGCCTGCCGCACTAGGCCTCGCGAAGCCTGCCGCACTAGGCCTCGCGCCGTGCTTTTCGTGCACAAATAAGGCGATTAAATGTATCTCGTCTCTGTGTTAATAAATGTTTCTTGTCTCTGTGTTAAAAAAACGTGCTGCGTTTCAGTAAAGTAATTTTGAAGCGAAGTTTTAAGTTTTGCCGCGAGGCGCCGGAAGCGACGGCCATCTTGTTTAATTCACAGATCGCAGGGGGAGCGGGCGGCCATCTTGTCGGACAGGGTCATGCCAAGCGTTTGCAGTAGGGGGCGATGTTGATACACGGACGGACGGACAGTCGGACGGACGGACGGACACATTAATCTATTGGTGGTCTGGTCCACTTCGTTCATACCAGTATAAATGTTCTTCAAAGGTGCCCGCTCACAGCACTTGCCCCAACAGCCTGTTAAGGCTACGCAAGGGATCTTTGTCTTTGGTATAGCCAAATATTGGAGGACAGGGCGGTGGAAGCTCGAAAACGAAGAGCCGTTGCCCAAAACGTCGCCTATTCTATACGCTTAATTTTAAGGCCACAGTGTTGACGAATGTTGAGATTTTATTTTATTTGTGGTTGTGCACCACCGCCAAACGCAGTGTCACCACGTAATTTGGATATTGGGGCTGGAACGCCAATAGGCTGTGGACTAAAACGTTCTTATTTAAAGGGGTGGTGCCTGTGTTCGATTTGAAGCATCACAAAGTGGCCTCGGGGTGTGCGCCTTCGCGAGAGACGCGGCTACCCAGGCCTCGTGCGGCTCTCTCCCCACCACGTGTCGCGTCGGAAATGCGTGTGCACACACCGCCTGTTCACTCACCTGCAGTTGCGGCCAGGGGCCTGTAGGGGGCGCCAACCTGGACAAGGGGACAGAGAGAGAGCCGGACCAGGTGAGGGGTTGGGGGGGGGGCTTTCCAGGATCCCCTGGAAGGTTCCAGAAAGGGGGCGGTACCGGGGGCAGAGAGTCCCCGGGACGAGTATAAAAGGCAGCTCCCAGGTCGGCTCGAGGCAGCGCGACGAAGACCAGCTAGGCTAGGGCCCTGGGACCCGATGTCCTTGTAAGGGCCGTGGACGCGTGGTCAGGACTCGCACCTTGGCTGTGTCGGGTCAGCCAGTCTCCCCTAGGTCACCCTAGCCCAGGGGTCGGCAACCTACGGCTCCGGAGCCGCATGCGGCTCTTTACGGGCTGCTTCTTGACGATGAGTACGTATGTACTCAGATGCATTGCGGCTCTTGAAATACTGAATTTTGTACCGAATTGGAAAGAAATGGCTCTTCTTGTTATTTTGGTTGCCGACCCCTGCCCTAGCCAGAGGGCTCAAGGTGACCCCGAGTGACAGGGCACGTTAGCCCAGAGGCTGTAGCTCCCGAGAGAGCGGGGTAAGGGCTGCCCCGTGTTGTATTATCGCAAGTCTCCTGGAACTCACTACACACGTGACCAGCACAGCTGGGCTCGCAGAGGTTGATCGGGTCACTCGATCCGTCTGGATTGCAATTCAACGGTCGAATAACTCTCATCTGAATCTGCAACAGATTCCACGCGGCCAGCATCGCCATTAAAACCTATGATGTGGCATGGTGAAGTATGTCAGCGACTTGCGGGGGTGGGAGGCTTCCTCCAGCAGAGGATAGACAAAGACGAATGATAGAGCGGCTTTCATCAAGTAGTGGAGACCATGGCTCACGAGGCGGCAATTTCGCCATCAATGGATAGACCGTAGCCAATGTTAACGATGGATAATTCATCCAGCATTAGCAAGACCAGAGTTCATGATGATGATGACGATAGATCACGGCTCGCATGTGTGTGGGGGCAAGCACCTCACAGAGAACTCAGAGCGACACGGTACAAGTTGGGAGCGCTCCTCGTTTTATTAACACTGGGGGGGGAGGGGGGCGAGGGGTCCATGGGGAGGGCGCACGGACCCGTGGGGGTCAACTGGGCTCAGCGCATGCGATCGGGGACCCGGGGCTGTTTCCCGAGGCCCCAACTCGGGGCCTCCGGATCAGGGGGGCGTCTCGCCACGCCGTGTCAAACATACCCGATACATACAGTATATAATACTGTAACTTTATACAGTATATAATACTGTATAAAGTTACAGTATATAATACTGTAACTTTATACAGTATACGTCAATACAATGTCAGGTCTGCGGGCATGATCGAGGCTGCTTGAAGACGGCTCCGATTGGGATCGGGGAGGTCCGTGTCACGCGCCTCGGGTTTTTGAGATGAAGCTACACGCGGGGGTCCCTATAGCCTCACTCAGTAGCCGTGGATGTGACCTGGCTGGATAATTTGGTTATGGTTACCGCCAATGCTCAACTTCAGCCTGAACAGTCCGGAAAGCCGCTTCCGGGGGGGGGGGGGGGGTATTTTGGTAACCATATCCATCTCGTCCTGCTTATTCTAAGCATAGCTCCACAGGAATTTATGCCGAAATCTTGTATTATTACAATGTATAGGCGTACCTTCTCCTCTTAGCGGTAGTGCAAGCATGCCCAATGCTACCAACGACAAGCGAGCCAAACAGCGTACTGCAAAATTATCCAGTGAGAAATGAATCCCTTGGTTTTCGCTCTGGGTCTGGCTGGGCGACAGTGGTTATGGCTAGAGGCTGGGTTCTGGCTGGCTAGGGTGTGGTGACAGCAAGGGGTCACGCCTAGAACGTGGCGAGGGTCAGCATTCGCGCCGGCGTTACTTCACAGCGACACGTAGCCCACCCCTAGCCACCCCCCACCGCACGGACCACCGCTCACAAAGGGTGCGAACTTCAACAGTGACTGCTCAATGACGCGGCCACGTGCTCGGCAGCCTGGCCAATTCCACTGGCAATTCACATATGTACATACGTGCCAGCCGCTAAGCATCGACGACGAATCGTTCTATATACATACACACAGCGCACAGGCAGGGCGAGAGTGCCGCCCAACACCTGTACAGCCCATCCAAGTGCCCGTGCAAAGGTAACCATCAAATCAGTATTCATACTGAACCCCTGTGCGCGAGTGTGTACACCTGTGAACAGGTAACACTCGGGCACCTGCTGCCTCTTGTCGATCACCTGCGGGGAGGCGGGGGGCGAGGTGGGCTCCCCCTCCAGGAGGGACCTCCAGGAGGCGCAGGTAAGGCAGAACTCGCAGACTTAAAGGCAGAGGAACGGCAAAGCTCGCGGCACTTACGGTGGTGGCAGCTGAAGGGTTAAATCCCTTACATTCGGAAGCCTTCAGTCTCATCTCCTCATTACCGCGCCACGACTGCAATGACGCTTACAGGGCCCTTCCATGAAAGCGCGACACCGAGCTCTCGATTGAGATTCCTAGAACCTCCGTGGAACGGGACAAGGTAACTAACACACGCGCTGAGCGCGTCCGGGTTTGGTCGTGCCTTGAGGGTGATGTTGATGCTGGGACGTTCAGCAGTGACAAGAGTTCGTATGTTGGGATGTCTCGCAGTGTGTTGGGCCGTTCGGCAGTGAAGGGGTTAAAGTGTTGGTTGGTTTGGTTATGGCCTGGCTGGCTGGTGTGGTTACTCGTTAAAGTCAGAATTATAATCGAGCGAGTTAGTATGGTCAGTCTGGTTAGTACTGGTTAGAGTTAGGGCCAGTACTGGAGTGTGGCTGGCTAGTGTCACTAGGTTAGGGATACATTTAGACTGAGGGATACAGCCAGTATTAGCATCTGGCTGGCCAGTGTGGTTAGTATCTAGTTAGTTCTGGTTAGGGCCAGTACTATGGTCTGGTTGGCTGGCGTGGTTAGTGAGCGAGTGGAGATGACTGACGTGGGGTCAGCGCTGCGGCTACGTTGTGCCAAGACCTCGGATACCCCTCCCGCTCGTACCCACTCCATTCATAATCACCGTCTCAGGCGATCCTCTGAAAGGAATCGACCAAACATTATTGCGCAGCGGCCTCCGAGATAAACCATTGACGACATCGTCAACACAGATCACAACGTCTCCCCTCTCCCCGCGGCCCATGGCGAGGATCACGTCGCCCGCCTGGCCGTCGCGACAGATGGCGGCCCCCACCCAGACCCCAGGCTCATCTCCCATCTAGAGACTGCTCTGCAGAGCCAGCGGGGGAAACTCCACATTCCTTTGGTGGGGGCGAGTCTACTCATAGGACAATCACCGTTGAGCTTCCACACAATGCGGTACTTCTATCGACCCCAGAGAGAGGGATGATGAACAGTGTCAACACCCCCGCTCCCCAACTAGGATTTGAACTCGTTCCCTTCCGATTGAGTCCGAGGCGCTCGCTCTACCGCTGATCCACGTGGGCGGGTCACCCCAACCTGAACCCTGACCCAGAGGCTGACCTCCCCCCTCCTCTCTCCGTGTTGTGACGGCATGACGACAGTGCGCTACAACGCACCTCGTCAGGAGAGCCAGGGGTGAGAAACCTCTTCCGTGCCGAGGGCCAAAGAGGAAGATCAGTTACCCGTGGTGAGCGGCCACACGACATCACATCCCGTCTCAATTGTTTGTTTTACAAACCTGTCTCTACAGCCAGGACGCTACGGAACATTATTCCTGAAACAGTCGAAATTCATAAATATGGAATTCCCTCCTCCCATTGTCTCTTTTCCACCAAGCTCTTATAATAATGATAATAAACGTGCTCAATTCGCGAAACTTGTTCACTCTTATCTATTACAACTCAATTGTACTGTTTGTTACTGGCTGCTTGACGTTTTGGGCCTTGGGGCCTCTGGTTGGCAACCAAGTCTTAAAAAAATATAATCGAGGTGTTGGAATTAATCATAATTTGGGTTCTGGTGTCTGAGTTGGCCACACTGGACCAATGGGGGACAGCCAGCCATGCTGGGCCTACCCCCTGCCTCCCACAACCCAGCCCTGTTGGGAGCCCCCCAACACAACCCTGGACCATCTCACTTCCATACTCTTAATCTCACTTCCCTCTCTACCAATGACGGAGAAGCTGCCAAGGGCACCTTCTCACCATCCTGCCACCGTCTGTGACCTGCCACGTGTACCTGTGACCTGCCACGTGTATCTGTGACCTGCCACGTGTACCTGTGACCTGCCACGTGTACCTGTGACCTGCCACGTGTATCTGTGACCTGCCACGTGTACCTGTGACCTGCCACGTGTACCTGTGACCTGCCACGTGTATCTGTGACCTGCCACGTGTACCTGTGAGCTGCCAGATACCTACAACATTCCACAACCTGCCATGAGTATGAATTGCTACAAACGCATACAACCGGGGCTTAATTTAGCACGCAATATTTTCAAGGCTGCTGCTGCTGCTACAGGTAGGCTGGATTAGTAGGTGGCACGTGCCCAGTAGCCACAGCGATAAGCGAGAAAAGGAATCCTAGAGGTGGTGTGCCGGGCACAGAAATATTTTCTGGCTAGCCGACCCAGACTGCTGAAATGAAGCCCTGTCTACAACCTGCTACGAGTTCCCGTAATCTGCCAAGACCTTCTAATGACCTGCCACGACCTTCTAATGCCCTGATACAAACCCGCCACCACCTGCCGCGAACTCGGCCACGGAAACGGTTCGACGTCGTGACGGTGTCCGAGGGCTCGGCAAAAGGAAACGGCGCGGGATCGCGAGTACCGGCGAGCGATCAGCCATGCAGTGGTGGCGGTGGTTGTGGCGTGGGTTGAGCGGTGTAGCGGTGGCGGTGTTAGGCTACGTGTGGTGAGCTGCAGAGTGCGGTGCTGCTGGGTGCTTGGGCGGTGGGCGGTGAGCGGCAGAGGGCTGGACGTTGGATGCGGTGTTTGGTAGCGGCAGAGGGCTGGACGCTGGATGCGGTGTTTGGTAGCGGCAGGATGGGTGAGCGAGCGACGCTCGGGCCGCTGGCGCTGGGTGGTCGAGTGGTAGACGAGCGAGTGCTGCATGCTGGGTGGCGAGCGCTATTGTGCTGGGTGGTCGGGTGCCGCTGGGTGCCGGACACGGGGCTCAGTAGTGGCAGGGCGAGTGCGCCAGCTCCGGGCTGCTGGGGGCCGAGTTCCCTGCGGAACTGCAGAGGGGGTCCCACGTCCTGGAGAGTCCGGAGCTCAGCGAGCCGGGGGACAGGCTGCCTGCGCGTGCTGCTGCTGGCACAATGCACACAGCAACGCACGTGTCAACCTCCATCACCTTGGGTCGCCGCCTCCACTTCCATCGTGAATCAATCAACTACCACATGGTGCTGCATGGTGCTGCGTCTGGCGGTGCTGTGTTGAGTGGTGGTGCTGCGTGATGAGTAGCGTTGAGCGTTGGCGCTGGGATGCTATGTGGAAAGTTAAACACCGCACCTCTCATCACGTCGATGAGAGGCGCCCGATCACGTGACATCGTCGTATCAGCCGTTCCACATCAACCGAAAATCATCGTGAACTCGTGGGTAAGGAAAGAGCCGGGTAACACAGGGGTGAGGATTCAGGGGTTGCAGCGGGAGATCGTAGAGCATCCGGAGAGCGATTGGAGGCGCACGTAGAGGCGGGGCGGCGGTACTGACCTGAGCTCATCAGAGGAGCGAATCCGAGACCCAAGGCCAGGTAGGGGTTCACCTGCGTGGGCTTGCGTGCCACGGAGAAAACAAGAGGCGGCGGACGAAAAAAAGGAGAAAAGACAGGGACACAGGTGTGAAGGGCAGCTTGCAGGTGAGAGGCGAGACGGGTAAGTCGTTGAGGGAAACGTGCAGTTCACAAGTGACAGGTAAGTCGTTGAGTGGAGCACGCAGCTCACAGGTAACAGGTGTGGTAGGTAGGTCGCTGCGTGGAACACACAGGTGGTGCCCAGCCAAAGGTGAACAGTGCAAGAATAGCACTTAGCATGGACAGGTGAGGTGCACGGGATGTACAGTAGGGGGCGCAGATCAACGATGGCGTCGTCGCCATCGAAGCTCCGCCCCGATTGCGATGCGCAGGGGACGGGCACGGCGAACGCACGGGACCGAGCGACGTGGGCGAGACGGCGCCGTGCCGGTGAGTGAGGGTGCACGCAGGAGCTGCGAAAGGAGAGGCTGCGCCCGTGCTGCCAGTCGGAGCAGCAGCTGCCTCGCCGCACGAGACGAGAACCTCTGCTGCAGGCACTGCCGTGAGCCCGTCGCCCTGCGCGCACGCGCAGCCTGCGTGGCCCCAAGGGAACAAGCGGCGCCACCTCTCCCCTGGGCGGAGCGGCAGCATCAGCCGGCGCTCAACAGTGACCTCACCTCCAAGTTGCCGCGAGCCTTCTTGAGCACCTCGTGCGTCCTGGTCACTGTCGGGCACAGGGGGAGAACGTGAGAACCGCGCGCAGCTTCGAGGGCAGCACCGCCGGCAGCCACGCTGGAGGTGGCTCGTAATGCCCGGCCGCCTTTGCCTCCCCAGTATTGATGTTTACACACCGCACCAGGAACTCACTCGAGGCCGAGTCAAACTGGAAGGGTCCCTGAACCGGTTAAGATAATCGTTACCGGTGTTGGCCGTTAGCGGGAATGGAACTCGGGCCGCCAGGTTTACAGCGCAGGGCCCTGACCACTAAACTACCGCTCCCCACTCACGCACACGAGCGCACACCCCCTGGCACACCCCCTGGCACACCCCCTGGCACACCCCCTGGCACACCCCCTGGTACACCCCCTGGCACACCCCCTGGTACACCCGCTGACACCCACACAAACACACAAGTGTCCTCAATACTCCCCGCGGTGGCACGAGTTTGTGGAACGCAACGCACGCTGCTTGATGATTGCCCGCTCCACGCTGTCCTTGCGCTGGTTGGAGGTGCGAAGGCGGCTCACGGTGCTCTGCAGCAGCGACTCTTGCTCCGTCAATTTGCGCCGCAGCCGCGTCACCTCGTCGCTCAGCACGCCACCCTGCACGGCGCGGGGGAGGAAGCCGCGCGCACCGAGGGAGCGTTCACGCCAGGCCGCTACACACACCGTAGATGCTCGATGGTTCGTTACACCGCAGAACCGTGACATGGCGACGGCTTGAGGCCTTCATCCGGCAGCGTGCACGCGGTGTATGTACAGTGGGGCGCGCGAAGCACCTGCGTGTGTGTCGCCGGCGCCCCCGCCGGCGCCGTGGGTGGCAGTGCCGCGCGCCAGAAGAGCTGCAGCAGGGCGGCAGCCTCCTCCAGCAGCTGCTGCATGGCGCTCACGTTCCCACGCAGCTCCCGCACCGTCGCCACGTCCGACGTCTGCCACGCAGAGAACGAGAGAGGGCGGCGCGGTAAGCGGCGAGACGAGCGGCAAGTCGCGAGTGCCAAGTTTGCGACTTCGCCGCCGCCGCCGCCGTTCCACGAAACCGCGTGGTGGTGCCGAGCGGACGCACCGTGCGCCCGGCGACGTGCTGCGCCAGCGTGTTGAGGCAGTCGCGGATGCGCGAGTCCATGCCGCGGATCAGGAGCCGCCCCTCGGCCACGCGCTGCCGCAGCGCGTCGTAATCCCCGGCCAGCGCGATCACGTGACCGCCAGCCGCATCCCAGAATGCCTTGCTCCCCTCCGGGTGTGGGGTGGAGGACTTTCCGCCCTTGAGGCGCGGCACACCACTGCCGCTGCGGACGCCTGTCGCAAACACGCAGACGCAGCGGAACAACCGGGCGCCGTTTAACGTACAGCACGCACAGAGGCAGTCCCGCAACTGCTCACTCACAGCCCTGCTGGCAGAAGAGGCTCCACCGGAGAGGGCTCCGGAGCCCCTCTACTTCTACACGAACAGACGAGAAAGGCACGTTTGAACGTGCCAAATGGCACACGCTACGGAGTGTACCGATCAGTTAAAATCCACGAATCGACGAGTCGTTAAGACATCTCATGGTTGCACTAAGAGACCAAGCTGCGTCTGCCTAGAAAACTCCTGCTAGACCCTCCCACTAACGTCAATGAGTGATGAGTCATTTGAAAGCTCGTGTCAAGTAGTTTCCGCAAACAAAAAAACGGCCCTCACATTGCCGATCCGCTCAACCAATTTCAATAGGCAGGGATGAGAAGTGAACCTCCCATCCCAATCGTACAGAGGGTAGGCGAGCGTCATTAGGGAGGGGGTCACCATCTCACTCTCGGGACACGGGCGTCCTCTCATGCCGCAGGTGGCGGCTCTGCGGGTGTGGGCACGAGGTGCGGGGGGGCGGAGCGGCGTGAACGGGGAGGGAGTGGCGGGAGGTCGGTGGCGATCAGTGGGGGGGGCGCTGACCCTCGATGCTGCTGAGCGTCGACTCGGAGAGGTCGAGTCCTCGCAGGGACGAGGAGGAGCTGGGCGGCGTGGGGAACGCCTGCGGGCCCGGGGTCCCGTCGGCAGCCTCCGCTCCGCCGCGGGTCGCCCGCACGCTCCCTCCTCCGTCTTCTCCTGCGGCGTCGTCGGTGAGCATACGGAGGTCACGGGGCGCGTGGAGGAAGAACAGAGGCAGCGATGTTCATTTGATCAACGTGACCCGTTTGAGAGGTGATCGGTGAGCAATGGTCAGGGATGGCAGGGGATGAGAGGTGGTGAAAGGTGATGGGAGGTGAACAACGCAGGACGGGCATTCAAGCGAGGCGATGGGGAGATTTTGGGAAGTGCCATCTCAGGGAGGGGAAGGCGGCGGGCCTCGGGCGACAGCAGCGCTGGCGGTTGGGGGTGAACTTACCGGCGGCGCTAGCAGGGGAGGAGGGATCCCTCGGCCACATGTAGTTGATGTTGATGGTGGAAGCCGGCGCGGCGGGGGAGGGGGCCGTGGTGGGGGGCGGCGGCGGCGCCCGCTCCCCATGCCACAGCTGCGCTTGCAGCTGCAGCCGCAGGGCCTGGTTCGCCTGGATCCCGCGCTCCAGCTCTCTCCGCAGTGCCCGCATCTCCGCCAGCAGCTCCGCCAGCGTCACGGCGTCGGGGGTCGGGGGTCGCGCCCCGGTGTCGTGCCCGAGGGCGTCCGTGGAGCGCCGGCGACTCAGCACCGCCTTCTTGTCTGCGAGAGGCACAAATTATATGGAGCGACGGGTGAGCAGAATCGGATTTGTGTTCAATTACAAGAGAAAAAAACAGACTACATGCCTCCTTCACATAGCTGTTCGGTAAACAAGTGATTTATTCTTTACGCATCTGATCAGCCACACGGCGTTCTGAAAGTGCATGTAAACCGATGCTGTATTGAAGAGTCGCGTATTGCAAAGGAGAGAGGCCAGGGAAGTGGAGGAACCTGTGTGGCGGGCGGCAGGAGTGCCGCTGAGACGCTCCTGCACCTTCATCTCCACCTTCAGCGACGTCACCACCTGCTGTGCCTCTCCCAGCTGCTGCTTGAGCCAGCCCACCTCACCCTGCAGCCTGCGACACCACCACCACACAACTCACCACGGGCACCACGCCGCAAAGAGAAACAAAGCGACGGGAGGAAACGTCGCGAGCGCGGCACCACGGCGCGTGCGGAGGCAAGCGCCCCGCGGCCCTCTTGGCGCCGTCGCACCTGTTGATGTCGTCGTGGGCGGCCCGCAGCTGGCGCGACAGCTCCTCTCCGTCGTCGCCGTGATCGCCGGCTGGCGCCGCCCTCTCCCGCGCGTCCCTCTCTCCCTTCTCCGCCTCCGCCCTCCGGCGCTCGCCCCGCTCCGCCGCCAGCTCGGCGCGCAGATCCTCCCCCGCCCGCTCGGCGCCGCGCAGCCTCTCCCGCGCCACCTCCAGTTCGGACGCCGCCTCCCTCGCCTGCGCCAGCACGCGCTCCAGCTCGGCCTTGGCTCCCGCCCGCTCCCGGTCGGCCCGTTCCAGTTCGGCGCTCGCCCGCCGGGTCTCCTCTCCCGCCCGCGCCCGCGTCTCCTCCAGCTCGCGCCGGAGCCGCTCGCCGGCCGCCCGCGCCGCGTCCAGCTCGGACTGGCGCTGCGCCAGCTGCGAGCGTGACGCGTCCAGCTCGGCGCCGAGCTGCTCCAGCTCCTCCGTCTTGCGCAGCAGCGCCTCCCTGAGGACCGCCTCTTCCTCCGAGCCGGCGTCTGTAGACGACAGCCGCGTACGCGCGCTTAACCCTGCGCATCTTGGCGAGCGGCCTAAACCCAACGCGACGTACCGGCGGGGCCGCACACCTGTTCTAGACGATCAGGTGACAGTGACCACTCACTCAAGGTAACAGCTGAGGTGGCGGGGTGGTTGACAGCCGGCTCCTCGTAATGCTTAACGAAAACACGTGTGTACGTGTGCGTGCATGCACGTGTATGTATGTGGGTACAAACACGCATGTGTGCATGTTCACGCCTGCGCGTCTACACGTACACGTTTGCGTGCACGTGAGTGTTTGCGCATCAGTGCACACGATGTCTGTGTACGTGTGTCTGTGCACTGGCCACCCCACCCTCTTCTGTGCCGTTCCGGCCTTCATAGGTGCTCGCGAACAGCACTTGGCCCAATGGCCAGTTAAAAGACTACACGGGGGATCTTTGTCTTTATCTTTGCACTCACCGTGGGGTCCGCTACGCTCGCGGTGCCAGCGGTTCTCCTCCGAGCGTTGAATGTAGATGTTGGTGGAGTTGCCTGCGCATGCAGGGACACGCGCAAATAGGTTAACAGTGCATGCGCGCGCGTCGCGTGCCCGTCACTTACGTGCCGACCGCGCATGCGTCAAGCGTGTCCCGCGTGCGCTCCGCACCGTGCTCCGAGTCGGCGAGCCGCTGCTCCAGCTGGCGCCGGAGCTGCTCGTTGGTGAGAATCGACTCCTCCAGACGGCGTCGCAGAGCACGGATCTCCCGCAGGTGCTCCTCCAGCAGCTCTGCCACGCGGCACACACATACGGTGACCCTGCACTAGGCCTCGCGAAGCCTGCCGCACTAGGCCTCGCGAAGCCTGCAGCACTAGGCCTCGCGCCGTGCTTTTCGTGCACAAATAAGGCGATTAAATGTATCTCGTCTCTGTGTTAATAAATGTTTCTTGTCTCTGTGTTAAAAAAACGTGCTGCGTTTCAGTAAAGTAATTCTTTTTTTAAAAAAACGTGCTGCGTTTCATCTGTGTTAATAAGCCTGCCGCACTAGGCCTCGCGAAGCCTGCCGCACTAGGCCTCGCGCCGTGCTTTTCGTGCACAAATAAGGCGATTAAATGTATCTCGTCTCTGTGTTAATAAATGTTTCTTGTCTCTGTGTTAAAAAAACGTGCTGCGTTTCAGTAAAGTAATTTTGAAGCGAAGTTTTAAGTTTTGTCGTGATGCGCCGGAAGCGACGGCCATCTTGTTTAATTCACAGATCGCAGGGGGAGCGGGCGGCCATCTTGTCGGACAGGGTCATGCCAAGCGTTTGCAGTAGGGGGCGATGTTGATACACGGACGGACGGACAGTCGGACGGACGGACACATTAATCTATTGGTGGTCTGGTCCACTTCGTTCATACCAGTATAAATGTTCTTCTAAGGTGCCCGCTCACAGCACTTGCCCCAACAGCCTGTTAAGGCTACGCGGGGGATCTTCGTCTTTGGTATAGCCAAATATTGGAGGACAGGGCGGTGGAAGCTTGAAAACGAAGAGCCGTTGCCCAAAACGTCGCCTATTCTATACGCTTAATTTTAAGGCCACAGTGTTGACGAATGTTGAGATTTTATTTTATTTGTGGTTGTGCACCACCGCCAAACGCAGTGTCACCACGTAATTTGGATATTGGGGCTGGAACGCCAATAGGCTGTGGACTAAAACGTTCTTATTTAAAGGGGTGGTGCCTGTGTTCGATTTGAAGCATCACAAAGTGGCCTCGGGGTGTGCGCCTTCGCGAGAGACGCGGCTACCCAGGCCTCGTGCGGCTCTCTCCCCACCACGTGTCGCGTCGGAAATGCGTGTGCACACACCGCCTGTTCACTCACCTGCAGTTGCGGCCAGGGGCCTGTAGGGGGCGCCAACCTGGACAAGGGGACAGAGAGAGAGCCGGACCAGGTGAGGGGTTGGGGGGGGGGCTTTCCAGGATCCCCTGGAAGGTTCCAGAAAGGGGGCGGTACCGGGGGCAGAGAGTCCCCGGGACGAGTATAAAAGGCAGCTCCCAGGTCGGCTCGAGGCAGCGCGACGAAGACCAGCTAGGCTAGGGCCCTGGGACCCGATGTCCTTGTAAGGGCCGTGGACGCGTGGTCAGGACTCGCACCTTGGCTGTGTCGGGTCAGCCAGTCTCCCCTAGGTCACCCTAGCCCAGGGGTCGGCAACCTACGGCTCCGGAGCCGCATGCGGCTCTTTACGGGCTGCTTCTTGACGATGAGTACGTATGTACTCAGATGCATTGCGGCTCTTGAAATACTGAATTTTGTACCGAATTGGAAAGAAATGGCTCTTCTTGTTATTTTGGTTGCCGACCCCTGCCCTAGCCAGAGGGCTCAAGGTGACCCCGAGTGACAGGGCACGTTAGCCCAGAGGCTGTAGCTCCCGAGAGAGCGGGGTAAGGGCTGCCCCGTGTTGTATTATCGCAAGTCTCCTGGAACTCACTACACACGTGACCAGCACAGCTGGGCTCGCAGAGGTTGATCGGGTCACTCGATCCGTCTGGATTGCAATTCAACGGTCGAATAACTCTCATCTGAATCTGCAACAGATTCCACGCGGCCAGCATCGCCATTAAAACCTATGATGTGGCATGGTGAAGTATGTCAGCGACTTGCGGGGGTGGGAGGCTTCCTCCAGCAGAGGATAGACAAAGACGAATGATAGAGCGGCTTTCATCAAGTAGTGGAGACCATGGCTCACGAGGCGGCAATTTCGCCATCAATGGATAGACCGTAGCCAATGTTAACGATGGATAATTCATCCAGCATTAGCAAGACCAGAGTTCATGATGATGATGACGATAGATCACGGCTCGCATGTGTGTGGGGGCAAGCACCTCACAGAGAACTCAGAGCGACACGGTACAAGTTGGGAGCGCTCCTCGTTTTATTAACACTGGGGGGGGAGGGGGGCGAGGGGTCCATGGGGAGGGCGCACGGACCCGTGGGGGTCAACTGGGCTCAGCGCATGCGATCGGGGACCCGGGGCTGTTTCCCGAGGCCCCAACTCGGGGCCTCCGGATCAGGGGGGCGTCTCGCCACGCCGTGTCAAACATACCCGATACATACAGTATATAATACTGTAACTTTATACAGTATATAATACTGTATAAAGTTACAGTATATAATACTGTAACTTTATACAGTATACGTCAATACAATGTCAGGTCTGCGGGCATGATCGAGGCTGCTTGAAGACGGCTCCGATTGGGATCGGGGAGGTCCGTGTCACGCGCCTCGGGTTTTTGAGATGAAGCTACACGCGGGGGTCCCTATAGCCTCATTCAGTAGCCGTGGATGTGACCTGGCTGGATAATTTGGTTATGGTTACCGCCAATGCTCAACTTCAGCCTGAACAGTCCGGAAAGCCGCTTCCGGGGGGGGGGGGGGGGGGGGGTATTTTGGTAACCATATCCATCTCGTCCTGCTTATTCTAAGCATAGCTCCACAGGAATTTATGCCGAAATCTTGTATTATTACAATGTATAGGCGTACCTTCTCCTCTTAGCGGTAGTGCAAGCATGCCCAATGCTACCAACGACAAGCGAGCCAAACAGCGTACTGCAAAATTATCCAGTGAGAAATGAATCCCTTGGTTTTCGCTCTGGGTCTGGCTGGGCGACAGTGGTTATGGCTAGAGGCTGGGTTCTGGCTGGCTAGGGTGTGGTGACAGCAAGGGGTCACGCCTAGAACGTGGCGAGGGTCAGCATTCGCGCCGGCGTTACTTCACAGCGACACGTAGCCCACCCCTAGCCACCCCCCACCGCACGGACCACCGCTCACAAAGGGTGCGAACTTCAACAGTGACTGCTCAATGACGCGGCCACGTGCTCGGCAGCCTGGCCAATTCCACTGGCAATTCACATATGTACATACGTGCCAGCCGCTAAGCATCGACGACGAATCGTTCTATATACATACACACAGCGCACAGGCAGGGCGAGAGTGCCGCCCAACACCTGTACAGCCCATCCAAGTGCCCGTGCAAAGGTAACCATCAAATCAGTATTCATACTGAACCCCTGTGCGCGAGTGTGTACACCTGTGAACAGGTAACACTCGGGCACCTGCTGCCTCTTGTCGATCACCTGCGGGGAGGCGGGGGGCGAGGTGGGCTCCCCCTCCAGGAGGGACCTCCAGGAGGCGCAGGTAAGGCAGAACTCGCAGACTTAAAGGCAGAGGAACGGCAAAGCTCGCGGCACTTACGGTGGTGGCAGCTGAAGGGTTAAATCCCTTACATTCGGAAGCCTTCAGTCTCATCTCCTCATTACCGCGCCACGACTGCAATGACGCTTACAGGGCCCTTCCATGAAAGCGCGACACCGAGCTCTCGATTGAGATTCCTAGAACCTCCGTGGAACGGGACAAGGTAACTAACACACGCGCTGAGCGCGTCCGGGTTTGGTCGTGCCTTGAGGGTGATGTTGATGCTGGGACGTTCAGCAGTGACAAGAGTTCGTATGTTGGGATGTCTCGCAGTGTGTTGGGCCGTTCGGCAGTGAAGGGGTTAAAGTGTTGGTTGGTTTGGTTATGGCCTGGCTGGCTGGTGTGGTTACTCGTTAAAGTCAGAATTATAATCGAGCGAGTTAGTATGGTCAGTCTGGTTAGTACTGGTTAGAGTTAGGGCCAGTACTGGAGTGTGGCTGGCTAGTGTCACTAGGTTAGGGATACATTTAGACTGAGGGATACAGCCAGTATTAGCATCTGGCTGGCCAGTGTGGTTAGTATCTAGTTAGTTCTGGTTAGGGCCAGTACTATGGTCTGGTTGGCTGGCGTGGTTAGTGAGCGAGTGGAGATGACTGACGTGGGGTCAGCGCTGCGGCTACGTTGTGCCAAGACCTCGGATACCCCTCCCGCTCGTACCCACTCCATTCATAATCACCGTCTCAGGCGATCCTCTGAAAGGAATCGACCAAACATTATTGCGCAGCGGCCTCCGAGATAAACCATTGACGACATCGTCAACACAGATCACAACGTCTCCCCTCTCCCCGCGGCCCATGGCGAGGATCACGTCGCCCGCCTGGCCGTCGCGACAGATGGCGGCCCCCACCCAGACCCCAGGCTCATCTCCCATCTAGAGACTGCTCTGCAGAGCCAGCGGGGGAAACTCCACATTCCTTTGGTGGGGGCGAGTCTACTCATAGGACAATCACCGTTGAGCTTCCACACAATGCGGTACTTCTATCGACCCCAGAGAGAGGGATGATGAACAGTGTCAACACCCCCGCTCCCCAACTAGGATTTGAACTCGTTCCCTTCCGATTGAGTCCGAGGCGCTCGCTCTACCGCTGATCCACGTGGGCGGGTCACCCCAACCTGAACCCTGACCCAGAGGCTGACCTCCCCCCTCCTCTCTCCGTGTTGTGACGGCATGACGACAGTGCGCTACAACGCACCTCGTCAGGAGAGCCAGGGGTGAGAAACCTCTTCCGTGCCGAGGGCCAAAGAGGAAGATCAGTTACCCGTGGTGAGCGGCCACACGACATCACATCCCGTCTCAATTGTTTGTTTTACAAACCTGTCTCTACAGCCAGGACGCTACGGAACATTATTCCTGAAACAGTCGAAATTCATAAATATGGAATTCCCTCCTCCCATTGTCTCTTTTCCACCAAGCTCTTATAATAATGATAATAAACGTGCTCAATTCGCGAAACTTGTTCACTCTTATCTATTACAACTCAATTGTACTGTTTGTTACTGGCTGCTTGACGTTTTGGGCCTTGGGGCCTCTGGTTGGCAACCAAGTCTTAAAAAAATATAATCGAGGTGTTGGAATTAATCATAATTTGGGTTCTGGTGTCTGAGTTGGCCACACTGGACCAATGGGGGACAGCCAGCCATGCTGGGCCTACCCCCTGCCTCCCACAACCCAGCCCTGTTGGGAGCCCCCCAACACAACCCTGGACCATCTCACTTCCATACTCTTAATCTCACTTCCCTCTCTACCAATGACGGAGAAGCTGCCAAGGGCACCTTCTCACCATCCTGCCACCGTCTGTGACCTGCCACGTGTACCTGTGACCTGCCACGTGTACCTGTGACCTGCCACGTGTATCTGTGACCTGCCACGTGTACCTGTGAGCTGCCAGATACCTACAACATTCCACAACCTGCCATGAGTATGAATTGCTACAAACGCATACAACCGGGGCTTAATTTAGCACGCAATATTTTCAAGGCTGCTGCTGCTGCTACAGGTAGGCTGGATTAGTAGGTGGCACGTGCCCAGTAGCCACAGCGATAAGCGAGAAAAGGAATCCTAGAGGTGGTGTGCCGGGCACAGAAATATTTTCTGGCTAGCCGACCCAGACTGCTGAAATGAAGCCCTGTCTACAACCTGCTACGAGTTCCCGTAATCTGCCAAGACCTTCTAATGACCTGCCACGACCTTCTAATGCCCTGATACAAACCCGCCACCACCTGCCGCGAACTCGGCCACGGAAACGGTTCGACGTCGTGACGGTGTCCGAGGGCTCGGCAAAAGGAAACGGCGCGGGATCGCGAGTACCGGCGAGCGATCAGCCATGCAGTGGTGGCGGTGGTTGTGGCGTGGGTTGAGCGGTGTAGCGGTGGCGGTGTTAGGCTACGTGTGGTGAGCTGCAGAGTGCGGTGCTGCTGGGTGCTTGGGCGGTGGGCGGTGAGCGGCAGAGGGCTGGACGTTGGATGCGGTGTTTGGTAGCGGCAGAGGGCTGGACGCTGGATGCGGTGTTTGGTAGCGGCAGGATGGGTGAGCGAGCGACGCTCGGGCCGCTGGCGCTGGGTGGTCGAGTGGTAGACGAGCGAGTGCTGCATGCTGGGTGGCGAGCGCTATTGTGCTGGGTGGTCGGGTGCCGCTGGGTGCCGGACACGGGGCTCAGTAGTGGCAGGGCGAGTGCGCCAGCTCCGGGCTGCTGGGGGCCGAGTTCCCTGCGGAACTGCAGAGGGGGTCCCACGTCCTGGAGAGTCCGGAGCTCAGCGAGCCGGGGGACAGGCTGCCTGCGCGTGCTGCTGCTGGCACAATGCACACAGCAACGCACGTGTCAACCTCCATCACCTTGGGTCGCCGCCTCCACTTCCATCGTGAATCAATCAACTACCACATGGTGCTGCATGGTGCTGCGTCTGGCGGTGCTGTGTTGAGTGGTGGTGCTGCGTGATGAGTAGCGTTGAGCGTTGGCGCTGGGATGCTATGTGGAAAGTTAAACACCGCACCTCTCATCACGTCGATGAGAGGCGCCCGATCACGTGACATCGTCGTATCAGCCGTTCCACATCAACCGAAAATCATCGTGAACTCGTGGGTAAGGAAAGAGCCGGGTAACACAGGGGTGAGGATTCAGGGGTTGCAGCGGGAGATCGTAGAGCATCCGGAGAGCGATTGGAGGCGCACGTAGAGGCGGGGCGGCGGTACTGACCTGAGCTCATCAGAGGAGCGAATCCGAGACCCAAGGCCAGGTAGGGGTTCACCTGCGTGGGCTTGCGTGCCACGGAGAAAACAAGAGGCGGCGGACGAAAAAAAGGAGAAAAGACAGGGACACAGGTGTGAAGGGCAGCTTGCAGGTGAGAGGCGAGACGGGTAAGTCGTTGAGGGAAACGTGCAGTTCACAAGTGACAGGTAAGTCGTTGAGTGGAGCACGCAGCTCACAGGTAACAGGTGTGGTAGGTAGGTCGCTGCGTGGAACACACAGGTGGTGCCCAGCCAAAGGTGAACAGTGCAAGAATAGCACTTAGCATGGACAGGTGAGGTGCACGGGATGTACAGTAGGGGGCGCAGATCAACGATGGCGTCGTCGCCATCGAAGCTCCGCCCCGATTGCGATGCGCAGGGGACGGGCACGGCGAACGCACGGGACCGAGCGACGTGGGCGAGACGGCGCCGTGCCGGTGAGTGAGGGTGCACGCAGGAGCTGCGAAAGGAGAGGCTGCGCCCGTGCTGCCAGTCGGAGCAGCAGCTGCCTCGCCGCACGAGACGAGAACCTCTGCTGCAGGCACTGCCGTGAGCCCGTCGCCCTGCGCGCACGCGCAGCCTGCGTGGCCCCAAGGGAACAAGCGGCGCCACCTCTCCCCTGGGCGGAGCGGCAGCATCAGCCGGCGCTCAACAGTGACCTCACCTCCAAGTTGCCGCGAGCCTTCTTGAGCACCTCGTGCGTCCTGGTCACTGTCGGGCACAGGGGGAGAACGTGAGAACCGCGCGCAGCTTCGAGGGCAGCACCGCCGGCAGCCACGCTGGAGGTGGCTCGTAATGCCCGGCCGCCTTTGCCTCCCCAGTATTGATGTTTACACACCGCACCAGGAACTCACTCGAGGCCGAGTCAAACTGGAAGGGTCCCTGAACCGGTTAAGATAATCGTTACCGGTGTTGGCCGTTAGCGGGAATGGAACTCGGGCCGCCAGGTTTACAGCGCAGGGCCCTGACCACTAAACTACCGCTCCCCACTCACGCACACGAGCGCACACCCCCTGGCACACCCCCTGGCACACCCCCTGGCACACCCCCTGGCACACCCCCTGGTACACCCCCTGGCACACCCCCTGGTACACCCGCTGACACCCACACAAACACACAAGTGTCCTCAATACTCCCCGCGGTGGCACGAGTTTGTGGAACGCAACGCACGCTGCTTGATGATTGCCCGCTCCACGCTGTCCTTGCGCTGGTTGGAGGTGCGAAGGCGGCTCACGGTGCTCTGCAGCAGCGACTCTTGCTCCGTCAATTTGCGCCGCAGCCGCGTCACCTCGTCGCTCAGCACGCCACCCTGCACGGCGCGGGGGAGGAAGCCGCGCGCACCGAGGGAGCGTTCACGCCAGGCCGCTACACACACCGTAGATGCTCGATGGTTCGTTACACCGCAGAACCGTGACATGGCGACGGCTTGAGGCCTTCATCCGGCAGCGTGCACGCGGTGTATGTACAGTGGGGCGCGCGAAGCACCTGCGTGTGTGTCGCCGGCGCCCCCGCCGGCGCCGTGGGTGGCAGTGCCGCGCGCCAGAAGAGCTGCAGCAGGGCGGCAGCCTCCTCCAGCAGCTGCTGCATGGCGCTCACGTTCCCACGCAGCTCCCGCACCGTCGCCACGTCCGACGTCTGCCACGCAGAGAACGAGAGAGGGCGGCGCGGTAAGCGGCGAGACGAGCGGCAAGTCGCGAGTGCCAAGTTTGCGACTTCGCCGCCGCCGCCGCCGTTCCACGAAACCGCGTGGTGGTGCCGAGCGGACGCACCGTGCGCCCGGCGACGTGCTGCGCCAGCGTGTTGAGGCAGTCGCGGATGCGCGAGTCCATGCCGCGGATCAGGAGCCGCCCCTCGGCCACGCGCTGCCGCAGCGCGTCGTAATCCCCGGCCAGCGCGATCACGTGACCGCCAGCCGCATCCCAGAATGCCTTGCTCCCCTCCGGGTGTGGGGTGGAGGACTTTCCGCCCTTGAGGCGCGGCACACCACTGCCGCTGCGGACGCCTGTCGCAAACACGCAGACGCAGCGGAACAACCGGGCGCCGTTTAACGTACAGCACGCACAGAGGCAGTCCCGCAACTGCTCACTCACAGCCCTGCTGGCAGAAGAGGCTCCACCGGAGAGGGCTCCGGAGCCCCTCTACTTCTACACGAACAGACGAGAAAGGCACGTTTGAACGTGCCAAATGGCACACGCTACGGAGTGTACCGATCAGTTAAAATCCACGAATCGACGAGTCGTTAAGACATCTCATGGTTGCACTAAGAGACCAAGCTGCGTCTGCCTAGAAAACTCCTGCTAGACCCTCCCACTAACGTCAATGAGTGATGAGTCATTTGAAAGCTCGTGTCAAGTAGTTTCCGCAAACAAAAAAACGGCCCTCACATTGCCGATCCGCTCAACCAATTTCAATAGGCAGGGATGAGAAGTGAACCTCCCATCCCAATCGTACAGAGGGTAGGCGAGCGTCATTAGGGAGGGGGTCACCATCTCACTCTCGGGACACGGGCGTCCTCTCATGCCGCAGGTGGCGGCTCTGCGGGTGTGGGCACGAGGTGCGGGGGGGCGGAGCGGCGTGAACGGGGAGGGAGTGGCGGGAGGTCGGTGGCGATCAGTGGGGGGGGCGCTGACCCTCGATGCTGCTGAGCGTCGACTCGGAGAGGTCGAGTCCTCGCAGGGACGAGGAGGAGCTGGGCGGCGTGGGGAACGCCTGCGGGCCCGGGGTCCCGTCGGCAGCCTCCGCTCCGCCGCGGGTCGCCCGCACGCTCCCTCCTCCGTCTTCTCCTGCGGCGTCGTCGGTGAGCATACGGAGGTCACGGGGCGCGTGGAGGAAGAACAGAGGCAGCGATGTTCATTTGATCAACGTGACCCGTTTGAGAGGTGATCGGTGAGCAATGGTCAGGGATGGCAGGGGATGAGAGGTGGTGAAAGGTGATGGGAGGTGAACAACGCAGGACGGGCATTCAAGCGAGGCGATGGGGAGATTTTGGGAAGTGCCATCTCAGGGAGGGGAAGGCGGCGGGCCTCGGGCGACAGCAGCGCTGGCGGTTGGGGGTGAACTTACCGGCGGCGCTAGCAGGGGAGGAGGGATCCCTCGGCCACATGTAGTTGATGTTGATGGTGGAAGCCGGCGCGGCGGGGGAGGGGGCCGTGGTGGGGGGCGGCGGCGGCGCCCGCTCCCCATGCCACAGCTGCGCTTGCAGCTGCAGCCGCAGGGCCTGGTTCGCCTGGATCCCGCGCTCCAGCTCTCTCCGCAGTGCCCGCATCTCCGCCAGCAGCTCCGCCAGCGTCACGGCGTCGGGGGTCGGGGGTCGCGCCCCGGTGTCGTGCCCGAGGGCGTCCGTGGAGCGCCGGCGACTCAGCACCGCCTTCTTGTCTGCGAGAGGCACAAATTATATGGAGCGACGGGTGAGCAGAATCGGATTTGTGTTCAATTACAAGAGAAAAAAACAGACTACATGCCTCCTTCACATAGCTGTTCGGTAAACAAGTGATTTATTCTTTACGCATCTGATCAGCCACACGGCGTTCTGAAAGTGCATGTAAACCGATGCTGTATTGAAGAGTCGCGTATTGCAAAGGAGAGAGGCCAGGGAAGTGGAGGAACCTGTGTGGCGGGCGGCAGGAGTGCCGCTGAGACGCTCCTGCACCTTCATCTCCACCTTCAGCGACGTCACCACCTGCTGTGCCTCTCCCAGCTGCTGCTTGAGCCAGCCCACCTCACCCTGCAGCCTGCGACACCACCACCACACAACTCACCACGGGCACCACGCCGCAAAGAGAAACAAAGCGACGGGAGGAAACGTCGCGAGCGCGGCACCACGGCGCGTGCGGAGGCAAGCGCCCCGCGGCCCTCTTGGCGCCGTCGCACCTGTTGATGTCGTCGTGGGCGGCCCGCAGCTGGCGCGACAGCTCCTCTCCGTCGTCGCCGTGATCGCCGGCTGGCGCCGCCCTCTCCCGCGCGTCCCTCTCTCCCTTCTCCGCCTCCGCCCTCCGGCGCTCGCCCCGCTCCGCCGCCAGCTCGGCGCGCAGATCCTCCCCCGCCCGCTCGGCGCCGCGCAGCCTCTCCCGCGCCACCTCCAGTTCAGGACGCCGCCTCCCTCGCCTGCGCCAGCACGCGCTCCAGCTCGGCCTGGCTCCCGCCCGCTCCCGGTCGGCCCGTTCCAGTTCGGCGCTCGCCCGCCGGGTCTCCTCTCCCGTCCCGCGCCCGCGTCTCCTCCAGCTCGCGCCGGAGCCGCTCGCCGGCCGCCCGCGCCGCGTCCAGCTCGGACTGGCGCTGCGCCAGCTGCGAGCGTGACGCGTCCAGCTCGGCGCCGAGCTGCTCCAGCTCCTCCGTCTTGCGCAGCAGCGCCTCCCTGAGGACCGCCTCTTCCTCCGAGCCGGCGTCTGTAGACGACAGCCGCGTACGCGCGCTTAACCCTGCGCATCTTGGCGAGCGGCCTAAACCCAACGCGACGTACCGGCGGGGCCGCACACCTGTTCTAGACGATCAGGTGACAGTGACCACTCACTCAAGGTAACAGCTGAGGTGGCGGGGTGGTTGACAGCCGGCTCCTCGTAATGCTTAACGAAAACACGTGTGTACGTGTGCGTGCATGCACGTGTATGTATGTGGGTACAAACACGCATGTGTGCATGTTCACGCCTGCGCGTCTACACGTACACGTTTGCGTGCACGTGAGTGTTTGCGCATCAGTGCACACGATGTCTGTGTACGTGTGTCTGTGCACTGGCCACCCCACCCTCTTCTGTGCCGTTCCGGCCTTCATAGGTGCTCGCGAACAGCACTTGGCCCAATGGCCAGTTAAAAGACTACACGGGGGATCTTTGTCTTTATCTTTGCACTCACCGTGGGGTCCGCTACGCTCGCGGTGCCAGCGGTTCTCCTCCGAGCGTTGAATGTAGATGTTGGTGGAGTTGCCTGCGCATGCAGGGACACGCGCAAATAGGTTAACAGTGCATGCGCGCGCGTCGCGTGCCCGTCACTTACGTGCCGACCGCGCATGCGTCAAGCGTGTCCCGCGTGCGCTCCGCACCGTGCTCCGAGTCGGCGAGCCGCTGCTCCAGCTGGCGCCGGAGCTGCTCGTTGGTGAGAATCGACTCCTCCAGACGGCGTCGCAGAGCACGGATCTCCCGCAGGTGCTCCTCCAGCAGCTCTGCCACGCGGCACACACATACGGTGACCCTCGCCCAACTTCTCGCACCTCCGCCACGCTGCCTTCGCCCGCACCACGCTGCCATCGCCTCCGCTAAGCTAGCCTCACCTCCATCATGCTGCCCTCACCTCCATCACGCTGCCCTCACCTCCACCACGCTGCCCTCACCTCCACCACGCTGCCCTCACCTCCACCACGCTACCCTCACCTCCACCACGCTGCCCTCACCTCCACCACGCTGCCCTCACCTCCACCACGCTGCCCTCACCTCCACCACGCTGCCCTCACCTGTGCCACACCGCCTTCACCTGCGCCACGCTGCTCTCACCTCCATTAATCTGCCCTGACTTTGGATTGCAGATCACAGTCAAATGTCCCATGTGACATCTGCAGATGATTCGCTGGCTCAGTACAGGTGAGGACCTGGGTTCGAATCTGCAGCGAGTTGATGATCTGAGCCCAGTCACAAATTAAATTTGGTTTTGTTCTTAATTTGACGAACACGCAGCTCTGACTACCGCACGTGTGGATGAAAGTGGCCATTCGAAGGGATCTCAGAAGCAGTTCTGTGACAGCTCCTTTCACGGAACATTCTCGAACACATCTCACGACGCCAAAAGCGCACCTGGAATTAAATAATGGTAAAAAAAACCCACAAAAAAGATGTAAACTCCTGCGCAGACAGTGGAGGTGCACGCACGGCACACTGGCTACGCCACTACCTGCGGTGTTCCTGCTGGGGAACACGGGCGAGGGCGCCGTCGGCTGCTCCACGTTCCGGGGTGACGGCGCCTCCCGGGCCCAGCCTTGCCCCTGCCCTTGTCCCGACCGCGCCCCCTGGAGCTGCCCCTGCCCGGGGCTGCCCAGCAGGCTGTGGTGCAGCTCCAGCTCGGCCCTGAGCGTGGCGTTGAGCTCCTCGGCTCCGCGCAGACGCTCGTGCAGCGTCTCGTTCCGCTCCCGCAGCGCGGTGTCGCGCGCCGGCGGCGCCGTCTCGCCGGCAACCGGCGCCGCAAATGCTTTGGCGGCGCCGCCCTGCCAGCCCGGCGCTCCGTGCGGCTGCTGGCGCTGCTGGTGATGGTGCAGCTGCGACTGCTGCTCGTGATGCTGCTGGTGCGGTTGCTGCTGCTGGTGTTGCCCCGCCAGCGCCATCTCTGCCGAGCCTGCGAGCACCACACGGCCACCGCGTCGGTGAGCGGCGCCGGCCCCTGGGCGCTTTGCGCCGAGCTCCCCGCGCGAGCGCGGGCGCCAGCAAAGGGAGTGGACATTTACGAACCCCAGGGAGAGAGAAACCGATGGTGGAAGGCAGCAGATGAAAGAGTAGGAAACAAGGGCCCTAAGGCCGATTTCCAGCTGAGAATAAACCTCGAAGAGACCCAACACGTCAACATTCACCGCTAGCCACCTCGGTCTAAATACAATAAACAGTTTGAAAATTAACCCCAGCACACAGCCTAAACCCTTACCCGACAAGTCTACAGGATCATGTAAACGCATAGCATAAACCCCTTTGGAGTTTAGTTTCTCCAAACCACTGCCGAAACCTGCAACCTAATGCACAGTTTAAATCATCATCAGCCGTGGACAGTCCACTGCTGGATGAAGGCAAGGAACAAGCCCGTGGATCTTATGTCTACCTTTTAACTTGGGCCTTAGATGATTAACCAAGACCACAGGACATCAACCTAGCCCACTCCAACCCTAACCCACGAGCTCGCGGGAACCGGTTCCCAGAGAGGGGTTAGCGGAGCTCACGTTCTCCCAGCTGCCTCTGCAGGAGGTCGAGCTCCCGCTGGATGTCGGAGAGGCAGAGGGCCGGGGGGTGCGCGTGGGGGCCCAGCGGAGGGCGGCCCTGGCCCGGAGGGGGCGGCCGCGTGTAGGGCAGGCCCGGCCGATGGGGGGGGCCCTCGGCCACTGGCGCCGGCACCGCCGTTAACGGTGGGGGGCGGCACAGCTCGAGGGCGCGAGAGTGAGAAGGAAAGGACGGCAGGAAGAGGCCAGGCGCTCCTGGGAGAGAGAGGGAGCGGTAGGCGCGCACCCGCGCGGAGAGGGGCGGCAGCAGGAGGTTAGAGACAAGGTCACGGGAAGGGGGCAGTAGTGGAGGTCCGAGATGAGGTCGGAAGTCAGAGACAAGGTTCCATGAAAGGGGCAGCAGCGCTGTTACATCAGGAGGAGCGCGAACAAAACGTGAACAGCACTGGGAAGGAACAGGGAATAGAGTCCTGTGACTAAGTACACAAGAGTGGCCGAGCGCCGGCTGGAGGTTTCGAGGAAGGGGCAATCAAAAACCAAGCAGCTCTATCTTGTCAACACACGCCGAGGCTGCGTGTCGCGAGTCTGTCTCTCGATAAACTAAACATGTCTGCTGTATCTGTACCGCGCCCTCAGACGCCATCATCATCTGCACGATCCATGATCTATCCACTGCTGGATGAAGGCCTCTCCAAGCCTTCGACATCTCTCACGGTCTTGCCATGCAGAAATCGATCCGATCAGTCTGTCATCATGGACACGACTGCGGCACAAAACCCGACCGTTCTTCCGAGCGCAGCTCCGAGCTTGCCGGACGGCCTGGGATGAGCGCACGGGACCCGCAGAACCAGGCGTGCGTCTACAACGCGCCGGCCAACTCAAGGGGTCACGGCCCCCATTAGCGAGGAAGGAGGTTCCCGTTACCTGCGGTGGGGGCGTTCGCGTAAATGCAGCCGTGCGCGTCGAGTGCTCGGTTCTCCGCGCCGTGCACGACGAGCGCCAGATTCTTGGCGCCTTCCGCCGCTCCGAACGGCGCCCCTGCGGCGGCGGCGGCAGCGGCGGCGTACGCCTGCGCAGCTGCAAGATAACGGCACGCGGCAAGAACAAACGTTAGTATGGCGACGGCCGGGGGAACGCCGGTGGAGATGCCGCAGCAGCAGGTGCCTGGCGGCACGGCTCGGCTGGCGAGGAAGCGGGCGGAGCGGCGAGCGTAATGCAAGCCGCACGCCGGTAACCGCAGAGGCCGAGCGGCGCAGCCGTCCATCCGCCCGTCACACAAGGCGCATGAATGAGTCATGAGGAGGCCGTGGAGGCTGCCTCCCGTGCACTCCCCCTCGCTTCTCTCCTCGCCGCTCCCCTCTTGCCTCGCTCGGCTGCTCCCCCGCGCGTGGGGATCGATTACAGCGGCACTCAAGAAATGATGGCCACGTTAACCCGCTGCTCTCCGCTTCTCCCCGCTTCCCTCTCTTGGGCACGACGCGTCACGGCTAGAAGGGACGACGGCCCGGCGGTCAAGACTCACGACGGAGTGGCAACCAAAGGAGAGAACATCGAAATCCAGGGAGATCCATTTATTGATACCCTGCTGACTTCTCGTAACCATTTTACTTACTCAAGGCTATTGCATATTGAGGAAGTGATGACTCCACAGCTGACGGTGGCGAAAGTTATAATACTCGAGGTGTATTGAAACTAGCAGCTTCACAAGGAAATGTCGTTCCCTCTCTACACAAAACACAGATCGTGATCAAACGCTCACCTAGCGCATGATGGGAGGCGTGATGTCCAGCAGCCAATCCTGCGTGGCCCGTGTCGCTATGGTAACCCCGCTGCTCGAACGACACATCGGCACTTCCGAACCCGGACAGGCTGTGCGCCAGCCCATTTCCGTGGTAACCGCAAGGCCCCCGGTTCAGGACCTCCGCGTCGCTATGGTAACCCCGAGGCACCGCCGCCGCCACCGCCGCCGCGGGTACCGCCCCCGGCGCTGCCCTCCTTTGGTCGTCACGGTAACGCTCCCCTGGCCCTCTGGCCGGGTTGTAGTGATCCTGGAAACTGTCGCCATCCTCCTCCTCGGCGAGCGACTTGCGGTCCAGCGAATCGCGCTCGGAGCTCAGCGAGCAGGAGCGGTTCCACGAGCGTGGGGCGGAACCAGAAACGGATCCGTCCGACCCGGAGACGGATCCCGACGTGGAGCCGGCTCGGGAGCGCGAGTGGCTCGAGCGACCCGACCCGGAGGCGGAACGCGGGCGCAGGAAGCGGTCGTCGCAGGCCGAGGGCGATGGAGGCGGAGACGACAGCTGCTGCTGAAGGTCCTCGATCAGCCGGTCCCGCTCCAGGAGCTCCTCCTCCAGCCTGCGCCAGGTGCGGTGCACGGGTCCCGTTATGCAGAGAAGCACGGTACATGGCACTTGGTGTCTTTGTTCGGCGGGAAGTCGCTCATTCGACCGTAAAGAACGACTGTACTAAACATTGCCACAAGTGCGTGCGTGTGCCACCTCTCTATGCGCGTGTGCGTGTGCGTTGCTTGCGCCTCGCTGCGCCGCGTCGCCTCCTGCAGCTTCTTGGTCAGGTGACGCCGCTCGGTCTCCAGCTGCTTCCTCAGCATGGCCACCTCGTGCTGCAGGGATCCCCCTGCACCACTGCTCGCCGCACAACCACGCAAAAAACACACAACCACACAACCATCACTGCGACCGTTGTCACGACAACCACCCACGACCATTATTACGACAAGATCTACCACCACTGCCACTACCATCATTACTCAGAACCACCACCAGCACCACCACCATGTGCACATAACCGTGGCGCAAGTATCGCGACCGAAAGAACCGTTACAACCGGTAAATTGGCTAACTCCCGTGGACCCGGTGCCTCGACACCACGGGCGAGGCTGCTCGCTCACGCTTGGGGACCCAGGTACCAGGAGGGCCAGACACTGGGCTACAGAGAGGGCAGGAAATTGGACAGGGGTGCGCCCCAATGCCAGGTGCGCTGCGCCACGGCGCTGGCGCCGCCGCCTGTAAGCGGTGCTCCGGGAGCTCAGCTTCAATTTATTCTGGCGAGTGCCGATCGGCACCGGGGAAAAGGAACTGGCAAAAAAAGAATCAATCCCCAAGTCATAATCGTCACGAAAAATAAACTACGGTAGCCGTGCCGACGTTGGGGCGGGGGGTGGTGGGGGGGTGGATGGAGGGTTTAATTACATCCTCCAGCAGTGGCCAATCAGCAAGACAAACACGGGGCGGCCCCGGCGGGGTCCAACGTTAAACCAACATGCGCACGTACATGGGGGAACACGCAGAGGAACGCACGGTAACGCACGCATACAGGGGAACACACAGAGGAACACACACACACAGACATGCACACACACAGACAGGTACACACACACAGCAACACACAGACAGGAACACACACACGGGCCGACACCTCGGAACACAAACACACAGGAGCATATGAGCTTTCACAAACGCAAACACAAGCCTTGAATTATATGGGTCATGGTTACGCTCAGAAATAAGAGTCATCAACATAGCTATGGTGGCAGCCGAAGCTAGCATGAGTGCAGAGCATTGGGAGCTGGTGGTCAGGGCTAGGGGTCAGGCTTAGGGGTCGCGGCCAAGACGAGGAAGGACGAATCAGACACTCACTTGACGGTGTCGTCTTTGTCGCCGCTCTCCGCACGTCCTCCATCAGGGGCCCCCTCTGCTGGGGAGGAAGAGGAACAGCAGTTGGGTAGGGAGTGGGGGGGAGGAGACGCGTGGAGGGGGCAGCAGGGAGTTAGTGGGAAACAACAAGCCACTACGCCCTGCCAAACGAGCCGACTGGTCACTAGTACCAGACCTCTCGCTTACAGTGACCCGAGCCAACTAGCCAACAGTACTGGCCTCAACCCTAAACCCTCACCAGCCAGCTGGTGGCTTCGGGTGAAATGGCAGACAGACCGGGAAAAGCCGGTTCTCCAGTCCCAGCTCACGAAACGGTGCCGAACACCGCCCAAGGGAACTAAAAAGAGGAAAATACGTCGCTGGCGCCGCCGACGGCGCCGCTCACCCGAGTTGATGCGGGACAGCAGCTTGTCCATGAGGTGGGCGGTGCGCCCCAGCTGCTTGCGGACGCCCTCGCCCGCGTAGTAGTCCACGTCACCCGAGCTCAGCAGCTCCTCCAGCGCCTTGGTGAGCGTGCAGAGGCGCTCGCGCAGCTCCCCGCACAGCCGCGCGCTCAAGCGCAGCCGCTGGCGCAGCTCCGACAGGTCCCGCGCCTGCGCCTGCACCAGCGAGTCCAGCCTGGTGCCGGGGGGGGGGGGGGGGGCACAATGGTTAGTGCACTGCACTTGGCTATGAATCCAGCAACCGGGGGGTTCGATTCCCACTCACAGCCAATACCAGTGACCAGTATCTGTGGTCTTGTGGTGGTAGTGATAATGGTGGTGACGCGGTTACAGTGGTCGTGGTGTGAATGTAGGAGTGATGGTGGTGTAGTTGTAGCACTGTGTTCATGTCAGTGCTTGCAGTGGCGGAATTCGCACGGTGAATGGGTCTTTGCTCAGCGTCACCAGACGCCGCGCGTGTCGAAGCCACCCGGGTTTAGATTAAAATTCGGAACTCACATGGCGTCCCGTGAACGTTCCCGGCAGTGCCACAACACACAGCGAGTCTCACCGCGGGCCCTCGCCAGCGCTGCCGCTGCTGTCCCTCTTGCCGTGGAGGCCGCGCAGCTGCTCCTTGAGCTGCCGGTTGAGCCGCTTGGTGTCGTGCAGCTGCTCCTCCAGACGGCCGACCTGGCCCATGAGCCGCGTCACCTCGCGCTCCGCCTCGCGCGACAGCTGCCGCATCCACGCCGCCGTGGCCGTCCCCGCGGCCGACGCCGGTGACCCGTCGCTCTCCTCGCCGTCGCGTCGCCCGCCGTCAGTGTCCGCGGCGCAACGGGGGCCCTCCAAGGGGTCCCCCCCGTTCTGGGCCGGACGCGACAGATCCCCCCGGCTCGGCCCGGGGCCGACGCCCACGACCGCGGGGGATCTCGGCGTGCCGGAGGACGGCGTGCCGTCGCCGTCGTGCTCCGAGCCCTGTGCCGAGTCGGAGCCGTTGCAGGAGTCGCTGCGCGCCACTGCCTTGGGCTGCCCGTGGCGGTGCCCGCCCACGCCATCCGTGCCGACGACGTCCGCCGATGCCGCGACTCCGTCGCCGTCACGGCCGCGCTGGCGGGCCTGTAGCTCGCGCACGATCTGCCGGTAGTTTCCCAGTTGCGCGTTGAGGTCCTCTACCTGCCGGCGCAGCCCCGGGGCGTCGACGGCACCGGCCGCAGCATCGCCGGCGGCGGCCGCGGCATTGCCGGCGGCGGCCGCGGCGGCTGTGGCGCCGGCGGCAGGGAAGATGGCGTCCCGGCTGCCGTGGCGGGCGATCCCACCGGGGCCTGCGGGAACGAGAGGAACGGTTCGGTGTGGAGACGCAACGCGTGCGTGCGGACAGCCCCCTTCTGTCAATCCATTGCTGGATGTTCGACTCCACCGCGCCACGTGGGGCGGTAGGCGAGGAGAGCACAGCAGCCGCCTCTGATCACCGAGTTAGAGTTTGCGAAAGTCCTGCCACCCCGCTCTCGTTCGCCTACGTCAATCGTTACGTCTACAATCACTGCACCGGGGAAATCAAGGCCCCAACGTATGTGGAGAGATGAACCAGCCCAGGTTATAACCACCAGGGGTGATCAACGACACGGAGTGACTGCAGAAGCCATGGTCAGGTCCAGGCTCAAGAGCTTCCTCTTCTCCTATGGCTGCGGCAGACTACCCCCCTCTCTGTCCCTCTCTCTATATATAATGTATATTTTTCATACACATCTCTGTACGGCGTCTAGAGATGCGCTCGCTTTTAGACTCGATAATGTCAAATCACGTGGTAATTATATCATACATGGCATGGCGCACACATCACATAACGTACACATGTATAATGTACACACACGTAAATACACACGTACGCAACACAATCGCACATGCACGTGTTACTGTGCTGACGCATCTACATATATGTACCCATACGTATCTACGCATGTACACACGTATGTGCACGGGTACACGTTTACACGTGCGTTACCACGACCACCGGCCCACGACACATGACGGTCTTCACCGTCGTCTCGGCACAAAGGCAGCGGCGGCGCCCTCGTCATTTCCTCCTCTCCGGATCAGATAACAGGAAGTGCCGCTGATTAGAGGTTTCTGGGGGCCTGAGGGGGGCGCAGGAGGGGGGTGGGGCCGGGGGGCCACAGGTAGGGAGAGCGCACGGCACCGCCCCGGCTGGCCCTGCTGCCCCCCGGCCGCATCTGGAAACGCTTAAGGGCGCCGAGCGGCAGCGGCCGGCTCCATCCGGCAGCCTCGCCACGGGCGACGCCACTCAGACGACTTCATCTCGCAGTCACCTCCTTCCCCATGCCTCTCAGAGCGACCGGTGTGGACGAAAATAACGTCACGGAGCTCTCCGTGTTCGTCGGGGCGGGCGAGCGATACCAGCCGAGGTGGCGATCGTAGTACCGGGATCGTGTCCATGACATGACGCATCACACCCACTCGGATCGCTCACGACGCAGTGCCAGTCCTTCGTGTTAGAGGAGGGCTCGCAGAAGTGAATATCACAGAGCTACCTGTGACATCCCTGCATGCGACCTCTGGTCAACACAGCAGAGGGCAGCACTTTCCCACCCGCTCCGCCACCGAGGGTAATGTTCATCACGTGACAATCGGACACAATATTTCAAATTTCTCAGGGCTGGAATGTATCCAAATTAAGCGCAGAACCAAATTTAATGTGACGGTGTTTTCGCGCAGCCATCGATGAATGGGGCCAGGACCGCGGAGACTCCCTGTGCTCGAGAAGCTGAGGGCCCCGAGCGGTTTCCTAAAGAAATGAAACTAATACGGCGCTTGCTCTCCGTAGCGGCGGCGGCGCTCCCTGCACTTGAAACGGCCGAGCCGCTGAGCGCTGGCGCCAGCCAGGCTGGGGGCCGGCGCGGCGTGATTACAGCACTTATCCCCGCTCCTCCGCGCGACGCTGCGCAGGCCCCGACAACAAAGCAGGAACCGGACCGGGCAGGGCTCCGGCAGTGGCCGCCCCCCGTCGCCCCCCCGCCCCCCGTCGCCCCCCCCCCCCCCGCCCACCACCCCACCCCCGCCCCCCTAATTGGGCACTATTACCCCTTGCGTGGCAGGCGCACGCTCTCCGCGGCTCCAATTACACGGGGCTAGCGGCGAGCTTAACGGCTACGCGCCGACGTCTTAACGGGCGCCTGCTTAGCGTCAGCCGCGTCGTGCTTTGCTTTCCCCGCGATTAATAAGCCCGGTGGCGGCTCCGCAAAAACACGCGCCCCCCCCCCCCCCACGCCCGGCAGGGTGCGGCTCTCTCCCTTGCCCGCTCTCCCGCCCCCCACCCCGTCGCCCCGTGATTGATGGTAGCGCCTCTCGGTGGCCCCCCGCGGACGGGGCCCCGTGTTTCCGCGTGCACCACCTTTGGGACGCCGGCAAAAGCCGACGGTTGCTTTCATCTTGGCTTCCATTTCGTCGGCCTGGTCGCCCCTCAACTCGGCGATCCACTCCGTGTTTTGTTGTCGACCGAGCACCTCCACGATTTTGTTTCCCTTCTCTGCCGGTAGCGGTGTTCCCGTCCTTTCTCGGACCTTCATGACGGCTGCAACAACCAAACCCTCAGTCCCCCCCCACCTAGCCCACCCCCCCCGCCAGTGGTGCGATCTTTAAACGAAGTGGCCCAACGAGCTCAACATAGCCACTAGATGTCGCCAGATAAACTGAATAGTGTAATGAGAATTAACAAATTGCAGCGACCACAGGATAGACAACATCCTAACCCCACTCCTAGAACTGCTCCTCCTCTTAAGAGTAACTTATCGCTCTGGCAATATGTTGTCGCTAAAATCACATCGTTGGAAAACACTCCCGCTCCCTCCCGCCTCTGCTTGTGCCCCTTCCCTTGCCCTCTGACCCCTGCCACCACCCCCGCTGCTCACATTTAGCCACACGGCCTGGCCCCGGGGCGAGAGCGCCGGGCGGCGTCTCACCGGAGTAGTCCTCTGCCTCGCTGCGCCCGCACGTCTCATAGCCCAGGTCCTGCACCTCCACCTGCACTCCCTTGCAGGCCAGGCTCGCCTCTCCTGCAACACAAACGCAGCGGGGATGTTGGCGAACGCCGGTGCACGCGCGACATGGCGCCGATGTGGTCAGCAGCGTCACATCTAGCAAACGGTACAGACGCCGACAACTTAACTTGCAGAAAATCATTTTAGGCCGAGTTAACCTAGAGGAGGCCCAGCTTGTGATTATACTGCCAGGCTAGGAGATGGAAACGCCGATTTCCGGTTTGCAAGTCCATTGTGTTGACCGTTATAACCACAGCAGCATCTGTGGCCGATACCATTCCAGTAAAAATCTAAGATCAGTTCGATCTGGAGTAATCGGGGTTAAGAGCGCCCCGCCGCTCTCCCTGTGAGCAGGCACCCGGCGGTTGTCCGCAAGCGCCCCCGGCGAGACCCACCGCTCGGTGGCGGCGCTAGCAGCCCTGGTGGCGCCGCTGCATTGTTCGCCAGGAGGAGCCGCTCCTCGAGCGCGCGGTTCTGCTTTTTGTAGTCCTCCAGCGCCGCTCGCATGTGCTCCAGCTCCACCCGCGAAGAGTCCGCCTCGCACGGCCCCGCGCCACCCTCGCGCTGAGCCGCGTCGGCGCCGCCCGGGGTGGTCGCGCGTGCGCCGGCCGAAGTCACGTGACGTCCGGCCGGTGCCGCGTGACCTTCGATCGCCGTCGCGTGAGTTCCAGCCGGTGTCGCGTGACTTCCTGCCGGTGGCGTATGACCTCCGACCGGCATCACATGGCCTTCAACCGATATCATGTGACCTGCGGTTGGCATCACGTGACCTCCGGATATTGTCACGTGACCTTCGGACAGCATCGCGTGACCGCTCATTGGAGACGAGAGGGCATCGGACTGAGCGGAGCAGCGGGCGGGAGGAGGGGCGGCCACTACTGCTGCCGAGACCTTCGGCCTCTTGGGGACCGGCAGCCGCGATTTCTGGAAAGAAAAAACAACACAGCACGCAGAGTTACAGCCAGGCGCCAGCGTTCCAGCGCCAGCAATCCCGGCGGCAAGTCGCAGCCAAATGCTGCACGGCGATGCCAGCCAAGGCTGGGGGGGACAATCGGTGCCCGGCCGCGGTTACGGGGCGCGCCACGATGCACGACTCCTTCACCACCGCCGACGCGACTCACCCGCCCGGCCTTTGACCCCACAACGCGCGACGGTGAGGGTGGCGGCTCTGACAGCGGTGACAGCGGTGACAGCGGCTCTTCGCCGAGAGCGGCGCCGCCTTCGCTCCGGTCGACGGAGGAGGACGTGCACCGGTCCGTTTCGGCCGACAGCTGGTGCTGCCGGATAGCACCGAGCTCCGCATTGAGGCGCTCGATCTCGCACGCCATGCCCACGATGAGGTCGGGGTTGAAGCTGCTGTCGCCGTCGACGCTCGTGTTCATCTCCAGCTGGCGCCGGAGCAGCTCGTTTACGCGCTCGGCATCGCTCAGGCGCTGCACCAGCTCGGCCGGCTCGGGTGCCGGCGGCTTCCCGCTGGCGTCCACGTCCTCCGTGGTGGCTCCCGTGATCCGCGCCGCTCCTTCCTTCCCTTCACGAGCCTTCGGACTGCGACGGAGCCGCCGCAGCTCCTCCCTGCGTGAGCACAAGCGTTGCGCGCCGTCACCGCCGCCGATCTTACAGCGAGGAAGCCGCTGCAAGCCAGCGGCGGGCGCAAGTTGGAAAGTAGTAGCTAGAGCAGGGCGCTCACCGCAAATCGTCGAAGGACAGGAAACCCTCCTCCTCCAAACACGCCGTGACGCCCTCCAGCTCCCGCTCCAGCTCGTCGTTTTGGGCGCCCACCTCCTCGAGCCGCGTCGCCGCCTGGCGCCAGCGCCCCTCCGCGTCTCGCAGATGCGCCCGGGTGCCGGCGAGGTCGGCCAGGAGCCCCTGCACAAACAAAGTCAGAGCGTTCAGTTGACTCGAGGTTGCCAGAGCCGCAACGCAACCACCACCATTGTCACAACCAATGCTATCACCACCACCACGGCCATCAACACCACCGCCACTGGGCACCGGCTGCTCCGTGCCAAGTTGTGCCACAGGTTTCTCTCTCACTCTCCCCTCTCACCCAGGATCCCCCGCCCTGAACCTCCCCCACCCATACGTCTCTATCCTTGCGAGTGTTGTTACGTTTTTAAACCATTTAGAGGCGTGACTGCAGCTGCGTGAATGCGCCGTACGGCATCACGCTGCTGTTGTTGCAGTCGTTGTTCATGCGCGTGGCCATCTGACGACCTCTCACCTCCACCTGCTTCTCCAGCAGCGCCACCACGTCACCGTCGCTGCCATCGGAGCCCAGCACCAGCCGCCGATGGGACTGCGTCATCTCCCTCGGTGCCTCCTCCGCCTCCTCCATCCTCCTCCTCGTCGCCTCCGCCTCCTTCATTCTCGTCATCGCTTCCACTTCCTCCATCCTCCTCCTCGTCGCCCTCACCTCGTCCTCCATCTGTTTCCTCTCATTCTCCGCCTCGTCCAGACGGCAGCTCGCGAGTTGATTGGCCAACTCGCGCTCCCCGACCTTTCGCTCCAGCTCCTGATTGGCCAAGTGCAGATCTTTGAGCTGCGCTGTGAGCTGCAGGGCCTGTCAGGGTGACAGACATCATCCTCGTCATTATCGGCCATGGTCTATCCACTGCTGTGTCATGCGACTTCATATGTCCTCACGTGTCCCCATGGATCGACGTGTCAGCTGTGCTTCCGTTTAATTTTAATATTTTATATTCTGAGCATGCTACCACCGTCATGTTACTGAAAAAAGAAAAATTCATTCGGAAATCTTGCAGAAACGGGGGAAGTGTCGTGTCCCCATGCCTCTTCTGTGCACTCCCAGATGTACCCGGTTTCCTCGACGTGTCCACGTTCATCCATGCACCCCCCCCCCCCCCCCCGTGTGTCTCCGACACGGCCCCCTCTCCCCCGAGCTCCTGACCTTGTTACGGAGATCGGCGAGCGGCAGTGCGAGCAGCTCCTCCTCCAGCCCCTCCGGCTCCGCCAGCTGGAAGCTCATGTACGACGTCTGATTCCAGCCGCTCACGAGGCTGTCTGTGCCTGCGAGCGCGCACGGGCAGAACGCGCACGGGGGACTCCGGGGCTTCATTTCAGCTGGCCTGCCTGGGTCGGCACACCACATCCAGTATACTTCCTACCGCCACGGCTGTGGCTCTCGTCATGGCCGTGGACATATCGGATTGAGTAATGACATTCCAGGGGCATGGTACTTGTGCCCCTTTCAATGGTCAGATTTGAAAAAATAATCAGCGTGGCAGAAATAAAAGACTGGCTCCTATCAGACAGCGAAAGAGTTAACTGCTAGGTGAATTGTAGATGTATGGTGGATATCTGGTGGATGAATGATTGATGTCTGGAGGATGAATGGATGAAGAGTAGATGTCTGGCGGATTTCTGGCGATTATCTGGTGGACGTATAGTAATCTCGAGGCTGAACGGTTGATTTCTGGTGCACACGTGGAGTGAGTGAGTGCGTGCGATGAGCGAGCGAGCGATGGTGGAAGCACGCTTACGGGCCGTGTCGTTGTTCGCGACGTGGAGCCCGAGTCGTCCCTGAAGGGATGCGTTCCACCGCTGCGACTCCTCCAGCTGCTGCCGCAAGCGATCCACTTCCAGCGCCAGCTCACGAACAGCAGAGACACCTGTGGGCACGGACACAGACAGACACACACACAGTCAATGATACACATGCACACAGACATGGATACACACAAATGAACAGACACGGATGGACATGCACACGGGCACACAAACGTGGAAACATGCACGCACACACAAAGACAAAAGCACGTCAAGACGTGCGCACACAAGCAGGTAGGTAACAATCTAGTTTGGACATGGGTGCACCACTCACCCACACGATCGCTCACCCAGCCACTCGCTCACCCACACGATCGCTCACCCAGCCACTCACCCACCATGATACACACCACGTTCTGCCTACACATCAATTTTCACACCTGTCCGCACCCATCTTCACACCTTCCTACCTACTCATCTACCCACCTGCTGATCTACCCATCTGCACACCTACCCACCTCCACACCTACCCACCACCTACCCACTTGCACACTTGTTGCTATGCAGCATCACCTAGCAGCAGCACAATGTCCATGATCTGTCCGCATCGGAACCCTCAGGGACTTGCAACGCAACAATCCATGGAGCAACTTGCACTTGAGCCGATTTCATTGCTCCATTTCCACGATGGACGTGCTCTCTAGGCCGAGGTATTATTTTCGTATTCTCAGTCGTGAGTCTCACCCGGCGGCCGCCGATAACGACTTTGTGTAATCATGAACATCCCCCATTACAGGCCTTAGAAGCGTAAATCTACCGCTGCTGTCATTATTTCAAAATAACTGCCGATTATATTGCATTGATCCACGTGATTATTTTCGTTCTTAACTGGTGCAGTACACAGCCTGGAGAGGCCTCCACTCATCAGTGGTTTAAGTGCTGTGAATTATTTCGATAAAACATCTGCACATATATTGGCGTCTACATGTCTATGTGCAGGTACAATCCGGCAGCGGAATAAGGGCTGTGAATTTTAATCGTATTAATTCTACTTTGTAGTTAGCCAACAGTGGCAGCTTTACAGATGTACCTAATGTGGTATTTATGCCGCTGGCTCAGGGCGCTTGTTGTTGCAGAGGCTCGCGGTTTGAGTCCAACGATCACCCTGGTAAATACTGCACAATCATTCGACTCGCCGTCTGCTTGAGAGTGGACGTAAAACCCGTGGTGCCATTCACAGGAGTAGGCCATTGTGTACCCCGAGTCAAGGTCCAGGTTTGCAAAATTCAGCAACAGTTGATGAGCACCAATGCCTTGGCGCTCAACTGAGCAAAGCAGAAACTCAAGAGTTCATTTTATTCCCAAAGGGGAAAAAAAGTGTAAAAATAGTCTAGAAATTACTTATATTCAAAAATTGGTGTACTGTAAGCGATTGAAACAGAGTAATCAGGGTTCAGACACCCTCTCAACCCTCGCTTGCCGTTGTGAATTTAATCCACGGGCAGGGCTCGGCTAGTCAAGAATCAATTTTCAATCGGCACTTGTGGTTTCTGGACACGCACTGCACACTGGGGTGGCGTTGTCATGTGACGTCAAACAACTGTTGTGGGTGTGGGAGCAACCCTCAGGTGTGTGGTTGTAGCGTGATTGGCACGGAGCCCAAGTGCGAGGAATGAAACATGAAAATGTCCCCTCTCCTCTAACTTTAGGGTCTCTATGGGCTTTTATGCGAGTCTATATGCGTGGCATAGTGTGGTATCCGTGGCATAGCGTGGTTGGCGTAGCCTCTGGTGCAAGGAATTCAATGAGGCTTCCTGCCCATCTCTTCGTAGCCCAGCACCGGACCTCTTCGGCCGTGGGTCCGTGTGCCTTTGCACCGCCTGCACTAGATAGCTGCGCCACTGGTAGTCAAGGATTTACGTCCATTCATCCCACGGTGGGAATGCCCGGCTGACTTCCCAGCCAGCCAAGTGGGTGGTGGGAGTCGTTCTGTTGTGATTTTCTGTTGCGGTTGCTACGCAGGGAAGCGCGTGTTGGCGTGCGTCATCTCAGCTCCCGTGCCGATTTGAATGCTCGCTGGCAGGTGATGGGCACCACTCTCAGCCAGCCAAGTGGACTCGCTCGCTCACTCATTTCTTTGTTCAACCGCCACCCCCAACCGTACGATTGGGCCACTGCCACAAAGGGCGTGTGGCCGCAACGAGCTCAAGGCCCTGATGTGGGTCCCCATGTCCTGTAGCGGAGGGCCCATTCACTCCCCTCTTAAGGATCACCATAAGGGGAGCACAAAGCAAGGACAGGATCTTGGAAGTGTCACACGGGCCTGGCTCTCTCTCGTGTACGGCTGGATGAATAGCGACTCACGAGCCTAAGTCCGGTTAGGTTTAGCCAGCAAAGGGCTTTAGTCGGTGGATTAATCCGATTGGCTCAGTTGAATTTTTCAGAATGCAGAGACCTGCAGACTCGCATAGAGTTCACGGTGGTTCACTGCTTTGGTTGATGGTCTGGTCAGGTTCGGTGATGGCATGACAGGCAATGTGGGAAGGGCAGCAGTGTGGCTGCGCCAGAGACTTCTGGTCTCAATGAGCCCTTCATCATTCACAGCCCTTAATCGATCCACTGCTGGATGGAGGCCTCGGCACGCTGTATCAGTCATGAGGGTTGTGTGATCATACTTCACCAAGCTGGTCAATGTGGGTTCGTAAAGAGCAGGGTGGGTGGAGCCCAGTATCAGTTCAGATATCACTTGCCACGACTGTTAGAAGTGGTCGGAAATCGAACACAGGTGGCTGGGTTCACAGCGCAGTGAGCTAACTGCTGCACCACCACTCCACGCAAAGGGGCCCTTAACCAATAACGTCATCCGTCTCGGAGCCTCGGCATCCGGGGACAACGAGACACCCCGGGCGGTGCCACCGGGAGGGGCGTACTTGCGATTCAGTTTACACAGTGAAGTGGCTTTGGCCGGCACAGCTACAATGACTGGGCCAGGACCTTTGTGGCCTGGGTTTTGTGGGGGGGCGTCTTGACCCCCCCCCCTTGTTGAGCCACGGTGGGTGGGCCGGGTTTGGGGTGGGGGGAATGCAACACAAGGGCGAGTGTGCCGTGTGAACTTGCAGCGTGTTTGTTTATTAGGGGTGACGATGACGACGCCGCTCGGCTCCGCGCGCGTTTACATTCAGGGATTAGCGGTGACGCGCGCTGAGCCTCGACAGGCGACTCGGCTACCGTGCACTCGCACACACAGACCCATCCGTACAACTAACATTACCCTCCTCGACCCCGTGTAAACTCGACAAGTGCAGGTCTTCACATGGACGTTCAGCATTCTACCCTCCCCTCCTGACGGAATGTGCTCTGTCCAATGTCCCTATGGTTTTTGTTTGTGTGCCATTGTGTCGGTCTCTCTACAGCCAACACCAGTGACGAATATCTGAACGGGATCTGGGCCTCTCGACTCGGCCTCAAATGAGTACCTGGTATGGTGTGTAAACATCACCACTGGGGAGACAAAGGCGGCCAGGCGTGGTGTTGGCCACCCACCCCCTCGTGTGCTGTGCCGACGTTCATAGGTGCTTGCTAATAGCACTTTCCCCAACAGTCTGTTCAGGCTATACGGGGGATCTTTGTCTTTGTTGTGTGTGTGTGCAATGCTTTGTAAAGTAAACAATCATCAAATGGAGTGAACGTAAATGGGCACAGGGAGGAGTTTAATTATCAAAAAGAAACGGGACATTCAACTACTGAACAAACCCCGTGTACCCGCCGTGCCTCCCACTCGTGTCCAGCCTGCAGCGGGGCGAGGCAGCTTTGCAATGCTATTGCACTCGTAAAATGTTTTCAGAGAGAGACGAGCAGTTGAACACAATAAACCCGGGGTTAATTGGTACAGACACGCACGCAGACAGCGTGCACGCACACACACACTCGACAGGCAGACAGATTCCATTAGTAACAACAGCGATGTCACAGTGGCAGGCCGCGCGTGTGTGTGTGTGCGTGCGCTTGGCGGTGTGGCTATGAACGGGTATGAACCCGTGCGTGTAGGCATCTACGTGCGTATGTACCTGCGCACTTGTGCGCGTTTGTAAACAGATCAACCTCCTAACAACATAAACAGTGCAATCATAAATTACTAAAACTTCACGACAACCCTCACCACCACCCACCTCATGGCCGCCACCTCTCCTCCCCATCTCGTTTCTCCAAACTTCTCCATTTGCCTGGAATGGTCTGCATTAAAAACTATAACTGATCACCCGTCTCACCCTCACGTCGCACCCACGACCCCCAACGTCGCACCCACGACACGTAACGTCGCACCCACGACCTCTAACGTCACACCCACGACACGTAACGTCGCACATACTTGCTGGGCTACGGTTGAACGGAGCAACCAGACTACGGGGGCAGCCCGGTAGTCCGGCTGAGCGAGCGAGGCCGAGGTGCGCTGGCCTGGAGCCACCTCCGCTAACCCCTCAACCTGCCCACCCATCGCACGATCGGCGAGGAAGGACACGACGACGTCGCGACCGCACGGCCGCTCGCTAAGCCTCCCGAGGGCGGTCGCCCCCCGCCCCACCTGGCGAGGTCTCCAGCTCGCGCGACAGCTCCTCCAGGTTGTGCCGCAGCTCGCGATTGGCGCGCAGCCCGTCCAGCAGCTGCAGTCGCAGCGTCCGCACGCGTGCCAGCTCCTCCTGCAGGCTGCGGCTGTGGCGGCGCCGGGACGGAGAAGTTAGCACGGCACAACTCGGCGAGGACAATTTGAGTACTCACCGTGCGATGCTGCCGCTGTTCTTGTCAGGAAATCTAAAAGATAATTATACGACTCCACGCAGGTGATCACATCTCAGTCAACCCAAACCGCCTGGGTCTGTCCCGTGACATCCTGCCAGTGGCGAGACTTCCTCACTTCACGTGACGGCCTTATAGTGCACCTAGCCTGGCGCAAACAAAGTGGTGACATCCCCCCCCACTTAATGGCGGTCATTGTTATTGTGTATTGCCCACTGCCCAAGAGGCTGTGCGCGAGTGGAGGAGGCTCGTGAAGGACATTTTTGTGCCATTGGAAGTGACGAGCGGAGGGCCGGGCGGTGACAATGCAGCGAGATGGCACAGGTCGTCTCAGTCCACGCCAATGGAGGTTGTTGTTCCAGAAGTAGGAGTGTAATAGGCAACAGCTCACCACAAAGGCGTGCGCGCGTGTGAGACACTCACCTGTCCGCATGCTGCGGCAGGGCAGCCAGGTGCTGGTACACCTGCTGTTCTGCGTGCAGCAGCTGCTGCAGCTTCCCACCCTCCTGTTCCTGCTCCATCAAGAGGAGCTGCACACGAGACAAAGACGTACCTTCGATTAACATGCCTACGTAAGGTGCAAAATAAGTTAAACATACGTAGCCCGTTTAGCCGTGCAGATTGCGCGGGTAAGTGATGTTACCAAGGCCGGCAAAGTGCACGAGAAGGTGGTGTGGCCAGGGACGCGCCTGGCCGCCTTTTGACTCCCGACTGCTGATGTTTACACACCACACCGGGTGCTCTTATTAGGCTGAGCTGACCTAGGAGTGGGCTTTCTCACTCACCTCGTGGGCGTCGCTGCCGGTCTCCGGTTTCGCTCCGACCGGGTTCCTTGGACTCCGCACTCGCAGAAGCAGCACTTCCTGTGTCAGCCGGTGCACTTCCTGTGTCAACCGATCCACCTCCTTGTTCAAGAGCTCCACCTCCTGCGTTGGCCGAAGCGCTCCCTGGGACCGCGAGGCCTCGGGGGACGACGCCAGCGGATGCCGGAGGGCCGCTCGCCCCGCCGCGGGGCTCCCTCGCCTCCGAACGGCGCGGGGCGGTACAGTCCTGTCATCGTCACCACCCTCCTCTTCCTCCTCCTCGTCCTCCTCATCCTCCTCGTGACAGCCCACATCATCCTCGTCGTCCTCCTCCTCCTCCTCCTCCTCGCCCAACAAATTCTGCCGGGTCTCTTTGTCTGCGGAGAGAAGCGATCGGAAAAATAACCCAACGCCTTTGTCATTAATCTTCACAATAATCACATCAAGATATCGATATGAATTAAAGTCCGTTGTCAATCCACTGCTGGATGGTCTTCACATGCCGTGGCAGTAACGGGGGTGGTTTGACCATACTTCACCGAGCTGCTCGGTTTGGGTTGGCGAACAGAGTAGGGTGCCCAGTAACGGTTCAGATGTCACTCTGTACGAATATTGGCCGAGGATGTTACAGATCTCTGTGATGTCATTCCAAACGAGCAGGCCATTGTGTGGCGGCGTCACAGTTCATATTTGCCAAATCCGAAAGATTACACCGCAAATAACTCAATCGGGATCACACACGGCAATGATAATAATCGTTTAGATTTGAAAGGCGCCCTTAAACAACGGATCTCAACACAACGTCGCCCTCTGCTTGCGAAGTGACCGCAGATTGCGTCTGCCAAACGCAGTGGCGCCTTCCTCCGCAGGAGCGGTGGCGCCGGTCCCGAACGTTGCGAGGCAACGGGCAAGCTTCTCCTCTTCCCGCCCCTCGGTGCCCACCGCTCTGTACACCGCTCCGTACCCCGCTCGTCCTTCAAGATGCGCAGCGTCTGCTTTAGCTCCAGCGTCCGGGGCGGCGCCTGCACCAGGGTGAGTAGCCGGTCCTTCTCCTGCCCGTTCTCCACAAGCCTCTGCACCGCCCACGCAGAGGCAAAGGGGCCCCCGTATGGCCTTCAACAGAGCGTGCACACACGCGCGCACAGCCATCGCCACCGAACCCCGACACGCAGGGCCCCGCGGTAGGAACGGTGGTAGGGGAAGGCGCAGTCTTGAGACGGGGTTGGCTGAATGTAGACGCTATACTCATTTGCTGACACAAATGTAATTGAGTCATTCAATAACATATTCTCTCACTGTTATTTATTCACTCATCCTTACAATCATACATTCATTTGCACACCCATTAATGCATTCGCTCATCTGCACACACACACTCATACACGCATTCATTCATCGTTCCGTCTCCGCGAAAGACGCACGTGTATGATGGAGTCCTTCTCCTGCAGCACGGCATGGAGTCGTCCCAGCTCCACGTGCGTCAACGTCTCCTGGCCCGGATCCCCCTCCTTCACCCTCTCCGCGTCTCCCTCCCTCTCCGTCCACCGCTCTCCCCCGGCCTCTGCCAGCCGGCGCCGGAGCTGCTCCATCTCCCGCTGCTGGCGCGCCCGCTCGGCGCGCTCGGCCTACACACAACGGCAACGGGCGAGACCAAAAAGAAGCCGTGACACATTTAGGCAGATGGCCGGGTGGCACAGAGGTCAGGGATGCCGAGCCGGTGCTGCCGAGTGCCTGGGTTCGACTGGGTTCTCAAGAACCAGGTTCCCAATAACCGGATTCTAAAGAGTTGTGAGTTAATGACCCAAACACCAATGACTGCACACAACGAAAAATAAACCCCATCACATTCAAACCATTAGGCACTTAATCTGGCCAAATACGAGTTGAACGATCATGCGACTGACACGATTCTTGTCTGGCAGTGGGTGGGAGTGCCGCCCTCGACTTCGCCTCAGGACGCGACGGCGATAGTGCGATTGGGATAATCGTGGGGAATTCTCGTTCGGCTGAGAGCGGCGACATCGGTGGTGGCCCCTGCATTGATTGGGCGTGCCTGCCTCCCCCCCCCTCGCTAGCGAGCGCGGGACCTAGCGAGCGCGCAACGAAGCGAGCGAGCGAGCGAGTGAGCCGGAGAGGATCCTGACCTCCAGGCACTCCTCCTTGTCGCGCAACTGCGCCAGCAGCTCGGCGAGCCGCCGGCCCTCGCGCGGCGCGTCGCCGCCTGGGCGCCCCCCCTCGGACAGCGCCTGCTCCAGCAGACGCTCCTTGTCGGCGAGGCGCTCGGTGAGCTGGCGCACGAGCTCCTGCGCCCCCACCTCGGCCCGCTCCAGCAGGGCCTGGCGCGCCGCCTGGTGCATGTACACAGATACACACGGATACAAGGGCTCATAGATGACAGTCGCTGAATGGGTTTGCGTGAGTGTAGGCGTGTGTATCTGTGTGGATGTGTCTATGCCCAGTGGGTATCTGCTTGTATCGTTGTGTATGTACGTACGAGTGCGTGCGTATGTGCACGTACACGAGCGCGCGCGTACGGGCCGTGCGTGCGTATTTGTATGAGCGCGAGCGTGCAACCGTGCCAACGCGGGCGGCGTCGCACCTCCAGCTCGGTCTCGCGCTGCGCCAGCAAGGCGCGGGCCCGCTCCGCGTCCGCCAGCGAGCCGTCCAGCGCCTCCCCCGCCTCGTCGCGTGCGCGTCGCGTCTCCTTCAGCGCCGACGCCAGCCTCTGCAGCTCCGCGTCGCGCTCCCGCATCAGCTCGTCCAGACCCTGTTCGCGCCAGCGCCACCGCCGCGGTCAGGGAGCCGGCGTCGGTGACGGCGGTGGTGAGATGGTGACGATGACGACGGCGACAAGGTCGCGACGGGTGGAGACGATGTGAGGGAGCGCGTCCACAGGCATGGACGAGAGGGTGAGCGGGCGGTCGAGTGGGTGAGAGGGTGAGCGGGTGGGTGAATGGGCGAGCGAGCGAGCGTATGGGTGGCGTCGCTTGCCTGGATCGTCTCGTCCTTGCCGGCGAGGAGGGCACGCAGGCGCTCCAGGTCGCGCGAGCGCTCCGCCAGCTCCCGCCGCAGCTCCACAATCTCCGCTTCCTTGTGCTGCAGGGCCGCACTCCTCGCCTCGTCCGCTCTCTACGCGGCACACGGGCACCAGCGGACGTCACGGTTACCGCCGGGACAGCACCACCTCCTGTCGACGGCCACGGTAAGCGACTCGTTGCCGCCCCCTTACCCCCCCCATCCCTCGCCGCTCCCCCCCCCCACCCTCCCGTTGTAAGCACTTGGTGATAAGTTGCTATTCCTCCATAAGATGTCATCGCCTGGCGTCGAGATTCCAGTTTTCAATGCATGATTTTTCTTTATCCTTGAGTGGGATGACGTAACCTTGCAGTAGCATATCTCAGAAATCTACTTAGTAAAATAAACATATGGTTTATAAATCGGTCGTATTGATTCACGCTCCGAGTGTGTTTGTACACACGTGTTTGGGGAGCGTTGGCGCAGCGATTAGCATGCTGTGCGACTAACCCGGCAACCTGAGTTTCAGTGACAAATATCCCTTCGGTCGGCTCAAAATACCTGGCATGTGGCGTCCAAAACATTATAATTAGGAAGACAAAGGCTGCCGGGACGTGGTGCTGGCCAAACCACCCACTCATGCACTGTCAGCCTTCACAGGTGCTCGCTAGCAAGCCCTTGCCCCAACAATGAACGTGACCTACACGGGGGATATTTGTCTGTGTGCACGTGCGTGAGCAAACAGGGAGCTCCGCACCTCCAGCAGCTGGTGCTGCTCGTTGAGTCGCTGCTGCAGGGCGGCGATGAGGGTGCCCTTCCCGTCGGGGAGCTGGTCCGAGCCTCGTAGGAGCTCCGTGTACTCCTGCACAACCGCAATCAAACGACCACACAAACCAAACAACCCGTGAAGGCACCTGCCATAGCGCCACCGCTGCGATGGGGACGCAAGGCCCTTGATGTTGCTCTCATTCTGGTTCTATGTCAGTTGTGCCTTGACATCGACACGTTTCCCTTGGGACATCTCAGAGCAAGCAGCGGTCCACCGTCGCCCCGTGCTACACAACGTAGGGAACTGGAAGGTACCGCCTTCTAACCGCCTCTGCGTGTGGCCAAGTGACAAACCACATTTCTCACGCGCGGTCACTGGCGACCGGGCTGGGACCATCCACTCGTTGCCCTCGGGTCACGCAGTAGAGACCCGTACCCTCGCCTCAATCAATCGGCGGTATCGCCTTACTGTCTCCGACAAGGCCGTTAAGAACCGCGGCCGTACCTGCAGCAGGCGGTCGCGGTCGGCCAGGCTGTCGGTGAGCCTGCGCACCAGCAACTCATGCGACGCCAAACGGTGCTCACAGTCGCGCCGGTGCGACTCGTGCTCCTGCACCAGCTCCAGCTCCCGCTCACGCCGCTCGCGCTTTGCTCGCTCCAGCTCCGAGCGCAGCTCCTGGGAAGAGATGGCGATGCAGGGGGAGGAGGAAGAGGAGCGACGACGCTCGGTGAGAATGAGGGAACGTGTGGCATCGGCCCGCCCACGAGCTTTAATAGTTGCTCGGAGTATGTCACTCACTCATTCACGCAGGCACAGCCACACAGCGGCTCACCTGCACGCCCCGCTCTGCGCGCTGGCGCTCCAGCACGGCGCCCTCCTTCTCTTCCTCGGCGGCATCCCTCTGCGCCGTGGCGTCAGCGAGGCGCTCGTCGGCACGGCGCAGCGCCCGCTGGGCGCGCTGTGTCTCGGTGAGCGAGCGCTGCGTGGCCGCGCGCAGCTCGCACAGCTCCTCTTCCTTCTGCGTAAGCAGCGCGTGCTGTTCCTCCGCTCCCTGCGGGGTCGGGGCCGAGGTCACGGGGTCAAAGGCCAGGGTAAGGCTCGGCTTGATGGTTTAATGGCATGGTGCAGGTTCAATTTGTAAAGCTTTCCGACTACGGTTGAAACCATTAACATCGGCTCCGTCCGTTTGTTGGTCAGTCTGTCCGTCCGACCGTCCATCTGTCTGTCTGTCCACGTGTCCGCACGTCCGACTGCCCGTAAACAGGGGGACACTATGAATCCACTATAAACACAAATAAAGTAGAGAGCTGTGTGGCTATTCGGGATACGACTTCTTGAAGACCGGCTACATGGGTGAGTCGCCCAAAACCAACCCGGGCACAACAGTTACATCACTTGGGCGCGATAATAATCCTAATTGCACCAGGAACTGTACCAAGTGTTCCGCCAACAATAACACGGCTGTTCATGCTGCTGCTAATGACGGTGCCGATGACTTGATGATAATTATGAAGATGATTATGCTCTTATAACTACTCCTGCTGTTGTTGCAGACGGTGTTGCAAATTAAAATACTGCTGCTGATACTGCTGCTGCAGCTGATGCGAGAGTTGTGTACACTCGCTGAGTATGACGCACGTGGAACTTCTGCAGCTGGGCCTTGTGCGTGGCGTCACGCGCCTTCACCAGCGCCGCGTCGCGGTTCTCCAACTCTTCGCACAGCTCCGAGATCTGAAACAGCGGCAGCGACACCAGGATCGGCAACGGCACAGACGCCAGCACCGGCGGTATGGGAATGGGATGGGCAGGGGCGGCGGCATCCGGCCCCGTCGGGGTGCGTGGTGGTGCGAGCGATGCTCGAGACACATGGGTGCGTGGGCATCGTGTTTGCTGTAAAGCGCTGACGCTGCGGTCGTGCGGTGCGCGTGTTGAGCGGCGTGCATTTAGGCCACACGGGGTGTGCGTGCCAGGTGTGGCCGCTGCCTGTTTCTTCGCGGTGTGTTTGAAGGTATGTGCGCGTGTCCGTGTGTGTGCACGTGTGTGTGGTGCGTGTCTGGAAAGGTGGAAGTGTGGGGCTGTGGTGTCTGAGCGAAGGGGGCCGCATGCGAGCACCGGGCGCATCACCGCACACCTCTTTGTCCTTGGCCTTCATGGCGAGCGAGAGGCCCTGGATGGCACGGTCTCGCTTCAGCGCGTTCTGCTCCTGCGTTCGCAGCTCCGACGCCATCTCCGCCAGCTTCTCCTGCAGCTCCTGCCGTGGCAGCAGAAGCAACTCCCTCAGATAGGGGGACCAGGCCTTCGTTTCTCACCTCGGTATTCTCCGGTTCACCAACCCCAATGGATATGGCTCTAGTTGAGGCCTTGCACATCTATGAGTGTCTGTGTATGAGCATCTACACGAGTCTATTCAAACCTATGTGGTTCTATACTAGTCGATCAGTCTCCATGCAAGTTTATGGGTCTCTCTGGAAGTGTACGGATTTTAATGAAAGTCTACAGGGTTTAACACGTAGGCTCTACAGGGTTCCATGCAAATCTATAGGTCTCCATTTGAATCTATGGGTCTCTATGTTAATCCTCACTGATAATATTGCCCGGGTCGTTGATAATCCAGAATATGTGGCAAACAACTTGTCGCTAAGGCCACCACATACCTACCGATTTAAAGCAGCCCTGATGGTAGCCCAGCACCACAGTCCACCAGTTAACTTCTCACGCTATTGCTTGGCAGAACACAAATCTGGCCGTCTCCCGACAGCAACGCCACTGGCGACTCTGCTGGTGACCTTGCAACCGTGTGACCGCCGGCGGACCCTGCAACGCACCTTGCCGGCACTCTCCAGCTGGCGCACGTGCTCCTGCAGCTCCCTCGCCTCCGCCTGCGCCTTCGCCAACGCGGCCGCCATCTCCCCGGCAGAGCGCTGAAGCCGCCCGGCCTCCTCCTCCCGCTCCTCGGTCATCTTCTGTGGAATGGCGATAATAATGATGACGACCCGGCCAAATATGTGTCTCAAGACCCTTCACCACCCGATAGAGCCAAATAAGTAAAAGTGTCATGCGGTGTGCAAATTTTAAACAAGGCGCCAATTATTTGGTCCAATCCCCGGAAAGTTAATGAACAATCCTCACAAGCAAATTTGTGGTGTAATTTTAAGCGAACAGTTATAGAATTGATGTATGCACCCAAGCGTGCGAACACATGCATATGCAGGCACTCACGTCATCTACGGCCAGAAAGGCAAAATCACTTAGGTCACTGGGACCACAACACTCACACTCAACACGCAGACACACACAAACGCACGCACGTGCTCATGAGCACACGCGTGCACACACGCCCAGGCACGCGCGCAAACGCCGCTCTTGACCCACATCGTTCGTTCAAATTAAACAACGACAGAAAGTGAGCAAGGAGACCGAGCGGGGAGGCAAGATTAGTGCCGTTTGGATAGGTTTTCTTAACGAGCTTCCTGGGAATGGCCCCGACGCATTTACGGCCCCATTAGGAGTTTCCCGTGCTCCCTCTGCTAGCCCCGCTAGACCCGGCTCTCCCTCTATCCGCGCGCACAGCTCTCATTTCGGTGATCCATCAGCCGGCACCGCACGTGCCGGGGCTTTACAAGCGTGCCGCCGCCACCACCACTCCCCACTCACTCACCCAACATTTAACAGGGGTCAGAGGTCGCATTCCCCAGGCCGCTAAGCTCCCCCAACCCGTCGATTGTGCTGCGACCCCACGGGGTTAGGGGGGTGCCACAGGTGTGTGGCATTTCCTGAGCCGGCGGTGGAGGTGACAGAGCGGGAGTGGCGCTACCTCCGCCACTGCCTCCTCTGCCGCCGTCGTCGCTCGGGTTACGCACAAGCCGGATCAATTTTCCCCCCGGCCACTCCAAGTGACGGCAGCGCCCCCGCCCTCCGCCCCCCACCACTGGCGCTGGGAGTGGAGGTCCCAGGCTCGACTTCCCCTGATAGAGCGGTGACGTGGCGGAGTGGTCGTGCATTGGCCGCTTGCAGCAGAGGGTCGTGATGCGAGCCGCCCCTGGTTAACGCCACAGGCGTATTGTGTGTATACCAAGCGTAAAAACACACGCGCTCTCTGCGTCAGAGTAGACGTTAAAGATTCCGTGACATCACTCGTGCGCCGTGCCGGCGTGCCAGTCCAAATTTGCCAACTTTTAAAATTACACCGCAAATTACCGGACTGAGCCAAGCCAGCATCACTCCCTCCCAAATGCGCCATGACTGCACATTATAGACGTATGTGAAACCGCTTTCCTGATGAAAGCCTTGCGCTATAAATGAGAAAATTTCAAGTGATTTTTAACATTGAGGTGGTGCTCATCCCCCTACTCAGAGCCCTGAGAGTCAGGGATGGAAAATGGAGACCACCACTGTTGATTTCCTCAGTGGTGCTCATTTTGTCAACCCCAAAACAGGATTTGAACTCGCAACCTTCTCACTACGAGCCGTTGCTCTCGCACTGGGCCGGCAATACGAACCGGGCGAATACCGAACTGGCCAATGATTTCATGCCATCGCGACCTCCGGGACCCCGTACCTTGCACTGGAAGGGCAAATACTCTTCACAGAGGTCATCAATCAGCTCCTCGTAGAGGCTACACCGGTCGTCATCGTCGTCGTCATTGTCGTCAGCGCCCAGCCGGCGAAAGCACGGCGGGGGCACGGAGGGGGGGGCCGGAGATGGCGTGTGCTTGAGGGCATTTGGCACGGGGGGACTGCCCCTCGTGGCGGGGACGATGGTGGGCAGCCGCACCAGCACTGGCAGCCGGCTCCCGACGGCGCCACGCACCGGCCTGAATCCGATGTCCCTCATGGCATGCAGCACCTCTGAGAGGGGACAGGGCCCGGGGTCCGGGTTTTCCGCCAGCGACAAAGGAGCCTGCGTCGAGTTGTCTAAGTCGCGGCACAAGCAGCGACTGCTGAAGGTGGTGGAGTGGTGCTCCCCCTGCAGCAAGGGGCACCTATGAGAGGGGATCGCCCCATCGGGCACCAGCTCCCCAGCAGATGAGGCCTTCGATAGGTCCGTGGAATTCAGAAAACTACCATCGTCTCGGCGGAAAGGCGATTCTTCCTGATCCGGCACGGCGAGAAACGGCGCCACCTCGCTGCCGGCGCCGTCACTGCACACGCTCGCAGAGACTAGCAGAGACGCTGAGCAGCAATCCTCGGTGTCGTCTTCTTCGCCGCTCGGTGAAACGGCACCGTTGAATGTTGCGGCGGCACCGACGTTGGTTCCGTGCTGCAGCCGGCGTGGCACGCCGCACACCGACTCGTAGCCCCAGTCTGGCACGCGCAGTCCCGAGCAGCAGGCGCAGCGCCGGCCGCGGCATGGCGGCCCGTCGGAGGTGTCGGGTCCCGGCTCCGCCCAGCACTCGAACGCCGACAGCTCCAGGTCGGCACGGAGCAGCGCGTCGTAGCGGGCGTCCGCCAGCGCCACGTCGTCACCGATGGTGCCGTCGATGGGGCCCTGCGTGCGGCCGTAAAGGTGCAGCAGGCACTGCACCAGCTGCTCCTTTTCACGCAGCAGACGGCGCAGATGCTGCAGGGACAGCGCTTGCACGCGCGCCCCCACCGCGTCGTAGCGGTACACGCGCTCTAGCATGAAGGCGCACTTGGAGCAGGCGAAGGGCGAGGCGCCATCGCCGGGCCGCACCGGGCAACGCGTCACGTGCGCCAGCGCCACGTGCAGCTCCGGGCGGCGCGGGGAGGCCGCGGGGGATCCGGGGGGGCCGGGCGAGGAGGGGGGGCGGCCTGGTGGGACGTGAGGACCCCGGAACAGCCATCGCCGCTGCTTGCCTTGCAGCTTGCGCCCGCACACGCGGCACGAGCCGATCGGCGCCATGGCACGCACGGCCGACGGGAAGCGTCAGCCAAATTGGTCCCAAGCAAGACGACGAACGTAGGAGATCCGACCTACGCACCCGTGCAGCCGTTCACCTGCACCGGCAGCTCAGTCGCTCGTTCGCTGACACGCGCACCTCTCATCTACCCGGCTGGCAACACCGTCCACGTGGTAACCGCTGGGCAGTGAGTTGGGTGTCGTGGTTGATCCACCCGGGATGTTGTCACTCGGTGCAAAATTAATCTTTTAGCGTGAGGGGTCGTTGTTTAGAACGCCAGTTGGCCACACCCCCTTCTCCCACTCGCGTGAAGTCCCCACCCCTTGCCACGTTTATAATTAACACAAATTAACACATCAAAGGAGACACCTGGCTCCCACGAAGCACGCGCATTGGGAATGCTGCGAGCCTCCTCATTACACAACCGCTAACGAGGCTTCGTAAATGAGGCGCCCGCTGAGAAACGCCGCAAATTGGCGACTCGTGATGAGGTGGCGCAGAAATCATCCCTCTCCTCGTCACCCAGCGACTCCCGTCTTCATGGCGCCGCTCAACAACGCATGCCCCGGTAGTGACGGCACCACAATGAGATCCGGGCTTGCGCCTTTGAGTCCGTTCCGTCGAGTTCCTCTAACACCGAGCTGCACCGGACAGCGCCGGCAAATTTAGGGTTCGGCCGATGCAACCTCCCTTGGGTTTGACTCCACACGGCGGCCCCCAGCAGCTCCCACTTGTCCGCTGAGCTCCCCGCACAGTCCTGCTTGTCCGCTGAGTCAACCCGGCTCATGACATCGCTGCAGGTGCAGCTCGTGTTCCTAATCCAACAGTCCCGTGTCAACCGTCGTCTTGGGGCGGTGAGGGGAGCGGTGGCAGCCCGGCGAGAAGAGATCCGGTGAATCCCCCTAGCAACGGTGGTGATTCAGGCCCGGTGACAACGCAGGTCGCCGTCCTCGTTGCCCTAAGCGCTTGCGAACCGACTCCAGCTTGAACCCATGCTCACTCCGAGTGGACAGGGCGAGGTGGTGGTGGTGGCGGAGACAGCGGCGGTAATTACCTCCTCCTCCTCTTCCCTCACTCTTCCTCTCCCCCCTCAGCTGTCGCTTCTTTTAGCAACACCCGGATCTTGGTGATCAGTGCCGCTCGGCGCGGATTGCGGTGCCACTGCAGGTTATCGGGCAGTGGTGATATCGCCAGGTGCAGTACCACGTGACACCGTGACACGCACACACACTGCGTCCCCTACCACCTGACGCACCACGTGGGTAGCTGCCGCCTGGCACGACAAGGTGGCCACAGGGCGCACCGGCTCACAACCCTGGCGGGCCGGTACAGTGAGCCGCTCTGCGCCACTGTAGAAAAACGGCCAGCACTGTGATGTGGCAGCAGCAGCAGCTCGTGTTCTCTGCCCCCTCCACTCACACCCCTCCCCTCCCTCCACGGACCCAACCATTTCCCAGCAAAGGGGAAGCGTAGTGTGAGTGACAACGCTGTAAGAGCAAGGAGCAGACTCGGCTAATGCTGATGCGGAGCAAGGGGTAACAATCGGAGGAAAATGCATCACGCCAGAAATGCGCAGCGGCTTTGTTTGCCGACTGAATCCGATGTTCAACGAGCGGGCTCGGTCTCGCCGTTCCCGCCTCTCTCGCGGGACTTGGTACTGGCCATTGTGTTCCCAGAAAGGCGGAGTCATCGGGGCCATTTTAGCGGACCTGCCAGGCAAGCTGGACGTGCGGAGTGCTCGTTCGCTCTCCCCCCCCCCCCCCATGCCGTTAGCCCCTCCGACCGGCCAACCTGCTAGCAGCGGCGTGCGGTGACACGGAGGCGCTGGTATAACATCCATCCGTCAGGTCACGACCCCCCCACTTTCCTCCGGCACGGATGCACACTAATCCGTTCCGAAGGAGCCACCGTCAAAACCAAAATCCACAGTGCTGTCCAAAATTCCGCGTACCAGCACCAGCAGCGGCAACGCCCGGCAAACAAAATTCTAAAATTCCCCCAACCACCCAAAAAACACCCTGGATAGGTATCCGATCTCGTTAGATTTCACCAGCTTAGCACGCTTCGGTCTGGTTAATACGTGGATGAGAGACTGCCGAGGAATAGCAAACATCGCAGGCTAGGGCAGCAAAGTGGCCACATGATGGCAGTAGAGCAATGGATTATTAAATCTATCTGTGTGGAGGTTTGAGAGTAACAACGCTGTGTTGGGTTTGCTCCCATACGAGGCCAAAAACTCAAAACGTTTTTAAAAGGAATCTTGAGAAGCAGTCTTTCCTAGAATAATCATTCTCACCCCTTCATTAATCCAGTGCTGGATTAAGTCTTCCCATGACATATGTTTGACCATACTTCACCGTGCTGGTGAACACATGACATTACAAGTGCAATGTTTTCATTATTTAACACACTCAGTGTATCTATCCGGGGGTCATGGCACATCGTCTCTCTGCCTTTCACCACTTCCTGTTTCGTATCGACGCGGATCTCCAAACGTCCTCACCACGACCATCGGCAACTCCAGCACCCACCCCCCTCCCGAACACTCAAAGGGATGAAGGAGTGGGGGGAGCAGGGGATGGGCGCCACGACCTTGCCAGGGTGTGCTGACCAGCACCCCCCAGAAAGGGATGAAGTAACTCGCCCCCCTACACGGTGTGACTTACGATCCGATTTACAAATTGATTATATTGTTTGGCTCACGTGGGACTGCATTCTGCCATTGTATGAATTCAGAGCGTTGTTATTGCTGCTGCTGCTGTTGTTGTTGTTGCTGCTGCTGTTGTTATTGCTGCTGCTGTTGTTGTTGTTGTTGCTGCTGCTGCTGTTGTTGTTGTTGCTGCTGCTGTTGTTATTGCTGCTGCTGCTGTTGTTGTTGCTGCTGCTGTTGTTGTTGTGATGTGGAGAATCCATGCTGGCTGCCAGGATGCCATGAACCAATCGTTCGTGAATTAATTATTCAATAAGAGTTCCAAGGTTCTTTTTCAGGAGGGTCCTGCAAGGAGATGATTTTCTAATTCCTTTTCATCATCACCAGCCATGCTCTATCCGCTGCTGGACGAACGCCTCACTCCCCCCCAAGCCGTCGCCATCTCTCACAGTTTCCATCCGGCACGCGAGACGATTTCACCAGAGCGCCGTCTCCCCGGTATGCATACTCCCGGGCACGTTCCCGCCCTTGGATGCCGCTCCATTGCGAGTCTCGCCTGCCATGGCCATCGTCCCTTCTAGCGATGACGTGTCCTGCGCGAGGCCGCTTATGTTCCTAACAGTCAACGTTATGTCTCCATATGACTCACGTTCTCCAATTCCACGTGTTCCTCTTTCTGTGCCCCCTCCGCCACGCATCCACAGACGCCAACCGAGACAAGTGACCTACACCCATACTTCACCACGACCGCATCAGACATGCAAAGCCATCAGCCCCGAGAACAGAACGAGAAACACTACAAGCTGGGCGAGCCAGTCCACTCACCACGTCAGATTGCGTCGACGGTGGTTGGCACAGGAGTTGGCTCGCTGGGATGTGAACCCAGCGATGACCTGAGAATGATTCCCGGACGCGGCTAACGTTGGCGATGTCTGAACAAACCGGCACCGTCCAGCATGGCGATGTATGGCCAAACAACCCACATTACGGCCAAAGGCGTGGGTAGGCATTCATCCAGCAGAGGATTGACAAAGGGCAGTAATCCGCTATTAATTCTACTGTAGATATATATGTGCGTACAGTAACATACGGATGCACGAGTTGAGCACTCATGTTCTAACACCCACGTGCTTGCGTTCTAACACCCACGCGTTGTAACGAAATTGCACCCGCCACACTGGCGTGCAGTGTAACGCCACATGTGTTTTACACACTGGAATGCTCATGTGACACTATTCCGCTGGCTGTCCTGCCCAAAAACCCACACACATCTGGGTATTGGTGTTGGCAAGCTCTCCGATGACATTCAAAGCAATTGTCTTTTGTAGTTTGTGTAAATGTGTGAAGTGTTCTTGGATGGTCACACGGATGGGTGTCATCTCATGCCAATAGCGATGACGGGCCTATCGACTCCACCAACAAAAAGTACTTATCCAGGAAGACCTCAGTGGGTCTGTTAATTTATTGTTTGTTAAAATATGTCCCCTGGAATATTCCATGAGATGGACGGACATCTGGTTTGCAAGGGCAACCCCGGGGTCGATGGACACACACGTAACCAACACGTCACGACTCCTGCACACAAACGTTTTAAATCCACAACTTGTACTTTTCAGAAGAACAGTGCTGCATTAGGAGGTTTGGTCAATTCCCGGCCACACTGGTAAAATAACCAACTCAGCTCCGTTAACAACGAAAATTCATCGGGTACCTAAATGTGGAAACCACCACACATGGCCTCATGCGGCGGATAAGCAGATTAGCGGATAAGTCCCGCAACAGGAAGGTGCGTTCTTGGAATTAGCGGCTGAATCACCGAGCCGAAACGTCGCATTCGATCAAGTTCATCGCCGTCGGAGGAAGCGAGTGCCGGCACCACGCACAACCTGAGGCGGAGTCCACGCCCGGGTAGAGCGGGAGGAACCGCGGCCGCCATAGCAACGATCCTAGCAACACAACGACCCCAGTAACGACCCCAGAGATAGAACGCCAAACACGGCCACCGGACCCTCCGGCCACCGCAAAGCGCGAGCCGCGAGCGGGATTACGTTACTGGCACGAGCGAGCGTTTGACACCTTGGCTTAGCCGACTTGGAGGCTCAGCGGTATAGTAAGCGGCTCGCAAGCAGAGGGTTGTGACATCAAAACCTGGTTTGGGGGTTAATCAGCCAATCATATATATGGGTCGATAAAATCGGTACCACTTTACAGTGAAGTCAACAGTGGTTGTCATATGGATAGACGCCTCCGTCACAGGAAAACTGGAATTTCCACCACTGGCTCTGCAGGGCTGTCAACAGGAGATGAGCACCAATGCCTCAATGCTCGTTTGAACAGCAGGAGATCACTGACTGTAAGCAGATTGGTATCAACAAGTTAATTGTCAGAGAAAACGTCCGTTACAGGAGACGTATCTTCTTCTGCTTTATTTCTATTTGTTTTGCTTTTGTCAATTTTCGTGACGCAGGTCACCCTCGCAAATGAGACTCCTATCTTGGTCTCTTGAGTTGGTTAAAGAAAATAAACGTGGACTTGGACTTCCCGTGAAAGTCCACCGAGCCTAAAGGTCTCGTCTATAAAGCGAGACCTGGGCCCTTAGAGCCACACAGTGCACATCGTAAACCAGCAGTCAAGGCAACTCACGACAACAAAGAACATCAACAATCAAGACAGTTTGAATATTTTTCAACCAAAGCATTAATTCCAATATGATGCACTGTAGCCATATGGGCTGTAGGAGAATAGCTCAACGTAGAGGTGAAGCCCTACTGACACTCCATTGCTGGATGGGGGTCTCGACACGCTGTGTGGGTTGTCGGGGTTTACACGACCGGACCCCTGTTATAGTTTCCAGCTCTTTCTGAATCCAATGCTGGATGAAGGCCTCGTCCACGTTGTGTCGGTAACAGGGGGTTGTCTTTGATCATACCTCACCATGCTGGTCAGTACCAATCGGTGAAGGAACCTAATACCAGTCCAGATACCGCTCGACAACTGATAGCCGTGGTTTGGAAATAAAACTCGGGTCGATAACCATTGCATCACCACTCCACAATGACAATTATATTTACGCCAATTAACATGCACACCTGGCCAATGAGTTTTCACCTTGTGAAATAAAACACAACTGACACGTTCCGACACGGCGCTCCCATCGCACACAGGAATCGCAAGCCCTGAAGCTCCGTGCGCTGATAATCACGCACGAGTGTACCACCCGGGAGAAAGAGAACCGCGCCGTAAACAATGGCCACAGCACGGAAATAACCAATGGGCAGTCACACGCATGCACGTACTCGTGCAGGCACACGTGTAGGGTTGGGGCTGGGGATGCGTACGCGAGGGCCTTAAGTGCGTGCGAGGCTCCTCCGAGGGGCCCTGGAGTGCACTCTCACACTCGTACAGTGGCCACTGCAGACTCGCCCTGGGGGAGTTGCGGAGCCAAATAGAGTGGCAGCGTCCGGAGGGGATGGCGTCTCGTCCTGATGTGGCATTTCACTCCCTCCCTCCATCGATTCATCCCCCCCCCTCTGTCCCATCTCTCTCACCCACCTCCCTCCCATCTCCCTGGTAACTGGTGAGAAGTCACTGATAATTATAATAACTCTGCTCTGAAAAAGTGTCTCTCGTGCTAATCTACACAGGTGGTTCTGAGCCAGAAGTGCAACATTCCACATTCCTCTGGCAAGGTTTAACTCTGATGTTTTTACAGCTATTCCAATG